GTGCAAATAGGTAATCGATTTCGTAATCGAGTTCGCGTATTCGCCCCGCGTGTAATCCGATGTTACAGGAATTGGTTGCGAAATCGGCCCCGTGTAACCGTCACGTCCGGGAAATACGTTTTCTGATTGACTTCCCTAAATAGTCGGATTACCCGGAAAATCGTGGGTCCGATATTTATAGAGTAATCCTACGATCAGCCCTCTTATGTTAATCAAGTAAAAAAGAAGAAAGCGGAGCGAAGAAAAAATGTGGATGTTACTAGCAATGGTGATATAATAGTAATAGCTTCTAGATTCCAAGTAAAATATTATAGTACAGATATACGTATATTTATTGGTGTAAATGTAAAAATTAACGTTTGAATCGACATTCATATTATTATAACCAGCGAGAATTCTTTCGGACTGCTGGTACCGGAGGCACTCGAAACGTTTCTTTTTTTTTCCGTGCAGATGAAAATACCGCTTTAATCCTTGCGCGAGCGCGGCGTTAAAGATAAACCCTCAAGAATTAGGCCAGTTTAAGGTGCTCTCACACGATCTCTCGCACGATCGCCACCGACCGAGCACCGTTAATATTGATGATCGTGCGAACATCGTAATCGGCTGATTGATAACGCGATGTATTCGTGCTGATGGCTCGCGAGCACATACCGATGTGTTTACGGTATAACGTCCGTCCGTGTGAGAGCCCCCATAAATATGGCGGGCAATTCGCCCGCTACATCTGACATCGCGCGTGGTGGTGGATGACGACCACCAGCGCGATTCACCATCCCGTATCGTGACGGAATTAGCGGGCAACCGAAATAATTTATAGCCGCGGACTTCATGCGCCGCGTGCTTTCCATCGTCTTCCTTCACCGTCTATCTTTCTCCCTCCCCCCCCTCTCTCTCTCTCTCTGTCTTTCTCTCTCTCTCTTTCCCTCTCGTTCTTTCTCGTCCCGTACTGACCCTGAAACCTACTATAGTTCATTCATTACGCCATCCCGCAGCGGTATTCTCACATGACGCACGAATTACCGTAGTATTCAGGCCATATATTAATCCCAGGGAACGCTGAGAATGAACGAATATATACACACGAATGTATGTAACGTCACGTTAAGTCGCAATGCACATATGTGCGTACGTGTTAAATTAGATGCGTATGGTGATCATTTTTAATTTTCCAATTTGTTCTGTTGAATATCTTCTTATAAAATATAAAAAATATAAAAAATAATTAACGCTCGTATGACTTAAAACAACTGAAATAACTAGGAAACAGGTCAATAAATCTTCTACAATATCTTAATGTCAAAATTACACAGCTGTAAAAACAGTACTTTAAAATTCTTTAAAAAATTTTTTTCTGTACACAGCAGCAAGTTTCTTAACAAAAAAAATATATATATCACGGAAAAAAAATTACTGTTGCCACAACATAATAATTGTGATAATTTTCGCCCATCAATTTAAAAGGGTTATAAAAACTAAAATACTTTGAAAGTGACTTATATAGTTAACTGAACTCTCTCAGCCTCAATGTTGTGACGTGCAACTATATCATATATATCTCTCAATCATATACTATTTGTTGTGTAAACGACATTAGAGAGATAACAATAATGCTTCGGTTGTGGCAACCACATATTATATGAAGATATTCTAACCGAATGTTATTTATCCAGCACTACGGTTGTGACAACCATACTCATGAGCATACCTTAACAGACGTATGCCACGTAACATCTATAGCAATTTTTTCCGTTTACATAAGTATAGATACGAATTTATCTTGAGCAATGAGATATTCTCGTGTATCTCACGTCAAACACTTCTCGTAGCCAAGGTTCTAGCCTAACAGATTGTTGTACGTATATCACATTAATATACTTTGTTACACTTACTGCGAAATATATAGACGTCATGCACATTGACGTCATTGAAGCAATTGCTCAAGGATCAAAATGGATTTGCCCGTCATAAACGTTTCTGATTTATGTACCCGTCGTTTAGTACTAAATGCGGCTGATACTGTGAGCCTTATTTATTTAAGGGTCGATGCCACTAACATAGATTAACTTTAACTACAGTTTAATCGAGCCTCTTTCTCTCTGTCTAGATAGCAATATCCATATGACATAGCTGGAGAGGAAGGAGACTCAACGTACAGAAAGAATTACGTATGTACCTCGCTCGTTTTCTCACATCGCGATTTCCGACTCGGAAACAATAAATTATGCGGTCTTTTAACTTTTGCTTTTTTTTATAAACTTTCTCCTCGAATTAAACTCTTCGACATTTTTTTTCCTCCCGCCCTACAAATAGAACAACCGGTGCCTAACGAAGTAATCCGTTTAATCTCAAATTCTTCCAGACTCGTTCCGGCTCGTGCCTATATAAATCCGCGCGCATTTACAGAAGCGTCGTGTGCTTCCGAAATAAATAACCGTGCGTAACTGTAAATTTTCAAAGCGCGCGAAAAGAGCAGCGCCGTTTGTTTTAATTATTCGCGCCCCGGCCCTCCCGCGACTATCTCGTGCTATTTTCTTTTTCAGCGATAAATTGCATTCTCCTCGCGTCGTGAAAGGGTCGCAAACTTCGTCAGCGGAGGAAGCTCGTGTCATAAGTCCTGATCGAAATTTATCACGCCAGGCACGTCAAGACGCGGATTTCAGACGAAGGATTATAAATTCGAGGAGATTTCACAAGCGAGCGAAATTCACCGTGTAGAGAAACAGCAATGATTTTAGAGAATATATTTAATTAAAATAATAAATACGATATAATACACAAAAATACATATTACAATAATAAACAATTACAATAATAATTATTACAATAATTATTACAATAATAATTATTGTAATAATTGTTGTAACAATTACAATAATAATTATTACAATAATAAACTTCAGGATATTTGCAAATTTTACAATTATGATAATTAACTAATTTCTTCTTCTACTTATAATTTTTTTTGTAAATAAATACATTGATGAGAAACCACAGCAGGTAGTTTTCTTTGCGGTTTCCTACAACTTTCCGCATAAAATCCTTCTACAAAAATCGCGTTTAATTAGTATTTATATTTTTCTAAATAGAATAATGAGAAGGCTACAGAAAGCGATAAATCGGGCTATTTTCCTCGCTTAAACTTAGATGGGAGGGAAATGACGCTCGTTACGTATACGTCTTTACTCATTAAGAGCTCGGCAGTTCCAGCGATTTTTCTCTTTCCGCGTTAACGACACGCTCCGCGACGGCGACACGAACGTCAGCGTGAATCATTTGTCATTCGTGTCATTCGTACGTTGCAAACGTTCCCCCCGCGAGATTCGACAAGTAATAGCCGCGCTTTGCATCAACGTCGCGTGCTCTCCTCTTTCTCTCCCGACGAAAACTTTTCTCGTCTCTTTCGTCCCTCCCACCGCACGTGAGAGACGTAGTCCCTGTCCTCGGAGGAAATTCAATTTCTCTTCGAGATTGTCGTTTCTCTTTCCTTGAAGGGAATAATGAAAGTATAAACGACGGGGGAGGGCTTCAGCGATGTATTCGACCGAGGGAGAGAGACAGATGCCGGAACCATTATAGTTTGCCGACGATTATTGATTGCACGTGATACGCAACTGACGATAGCCGATCTCGCGTGTGTTGACAGATTCGCACGACTGACACGTCGATCAACGCGTCGCATTCTGACACGAAAGTATCTTATTTCGAGGCACTTAAGCGATCCGGTATCTATAATACTTATTTACCGCCGTTCGCGCGGTGCATTGATCCACATATATATTGTCATTCTAATTCCGGGCAGACCCTCGATTCCCATTCTTCTTTCGGGGACGGCATATTATCTTTGGGGGCCTTGGAAGAGTTAAGGGGACATAAGGCACTGACAGATGACGGCGCGTATACAATATTCTATACGGTCTACGGTCAGCGGACATGCGGAATTATATATCGGAAATTGGAGCCCGATATTCAAACGAAGTATGTCAGGGTTTATTACGTGCGAGGCCGTCATGCCGCACGGCCATGTCACCTTCGATGCCTTCGTTCGATTATAATTTATTGAGCACATAGGAAACGGGTAAACTCAACCTGTCTCACGTGCCGAGTCTATATGCCAAGTAATTATTTCACAATAATTCTATAAAGTGGTCCTCTGGAGCAATTTATTATACATATATGAGGCTGTTCTTGTACCAAATTGATATATCGAAAATGTTTTTAAGTAGCGCGGCTTCAGCGTGGCTTCCGAATATATAATATATTAAATCTATTTTTGAAGACACGATAATTAGAAACATATAATCCGAGCGGGTCGTAAAACATTTTTAGATCTCGAGGGAGAGGCGCTTAGTTACAGCGTTATGCGAGAGAGAGAGAGAAAGAGAGAGATTCGAAACTTTACGAGCGCGGCGTGAACAATCTTAATCGGAAAAAGAACTCTCGCCGGCACGCGCCCCGCGCGATATTTTGGCCCGACGCGACGTGCAGCCAGCACGCGAGAAACATGTGGCCCGCATGTGGAATACAATGCGGCGTCCGCCACGAAGGACGCTTAAATTAACGAAGGAGGCTTAAGGATTATTGAGAAACAAATGTGACGCGAGGATCTCTCGTTCGCCTGCTACTCGCGACGCGAGAGTGCACTTCGCACCTCTGCATTATCGTCGATCGACAGATCACGATAAGGAACGGTTTCATCGGCGACAGATTAGCTGCAACAGATAACGGCTTCTTCGGCAAGCGCATTGATTTATCTTGCCGGTGACCCGCCGAAAACACCGAGTGTCACCGTCACCAAAAGTCGGGCGTTTCATCTATAGAGTTTCAGTTTAAATTAGACTCGATCCGTTAATCAATCCGAAAAAATTAATGAATTAGCCCGCGAAAATCGCTGACGTTTGTTTTGCGTGTGCAGGCCGAGCAAACGTAACCCGATGAAATACGGCGGCTGCAACCCCTTCCATCCGCGGCGGCCGCGCCGCGAGGCTGCCTGCAGTCGACGTCGAAGCGGAGGCGCGCGAGCGTCGGGTGCCCGCGCCGATCAGTCCGCGCGGGACGCTCGACGAGCGAGGATCGTGTTTCTCGGGTCTCTCGCGCCTTGCTCTCGAAGTCCTCACACACAGGTGCGTCGGTGGTTAAACGGCGTGGGAGGGAGAGAAAGAGAGAGCTAGTTTTTCCGCACGCAGTTCCGGCAGGGCTGACGCGGCGCCGTAGAAGGAGGAGAGAAGAAAAAAACGGCGGCGATCATAGAGAAGCACTTCGCGCGAGACGACCGGGACCCCGGGAGTATTGGAGCACAGATGGTGAGAGGTGAGTGAAGCGAGAAAGAGAGAGAGGAGAGAGAGAGAGAGAGAGAGAGAGAGAGAGAGAAAGAGAGAGAGAGACAGAATACGTGTGTATATGTGTGTGTGTGTGTGTGTGTGTAATGTATTTACGTCCCTTCGCGCGAAATACGAGGGCACTTTTGCGTGCAATCGATCGGCCTCCCGAGAAACTCCCTTAGTTACCCCTTACCCACCCTTAATAGAGCCAGCCCAACGTGACGATGACGACGGCCGGGTCGGCCGCGAGGAGAGAGAGAGATCATTTCTCCCGTGTGTACACGGGACGATGCGCGGGTTAACGTCCGTTAATTCCGGGATCGGGACTTAATCCATCACGTTAATCGAATTCGAGCGAAATTAGCTGCTTATTAGTCGTCTGGTCGAACGCGGGGAAATGCGATCGAAGAGATGCGACACGGAGTCCGGGTAATTTTGTAATTTCGAGCGACGATGTCGAAATTAACATCTGTTAAATCTTTTAACCTAGAGGTTAATTCGACGAATCAGATTTAATTTCGTGCGAGATGGGATCATCGCTCGAGGAAATTAGATCGATCCGATAATATAATTCATGTAATGAAATAAATTATACGGCATTGATATGTTTTACAAATCAATTTCGAGAGAAATAATTGCATCATGCCTTCTTTACATCTTCAATGTTTCCGTTTTCATGATGAAACAGCCGAGACTAATTTATCATTTTTATTGACTTTGTGTGAGCATATTTAGTTAAATCAATTAAAAAATGATACATAAATAATGTTATCATACATATATATAATATTATTTGTGTACATATACATATATATACAAACTAAAAAAACAAGAAGATAAAAAGAATGCCTACAAATTGACGCTATAAAAGAAAATCATTTTTATATACGAGCCGCAATTTTTTATCGCTCGAACGTGAAACTATCGATATCTCACAGCCTATTGCGGCCGAAAGGGGTTGAAATGTTCCGTAACGAAGCGAAATCCTAATCGTCGCTATCCGATTAACGATGAGAAATGGTGCTCCCGAGAGTGTATTTCGGTCTGTACCTCAAGTGAAATTTAAAGCCCCGGCTGTGCGCGCGCGGCGATCGATCCCATTCAAATTTAAGTTTTACCTTAAATTTGATCACTTGCAGACTGGCTTATTAGTTTCGTTTGACGTAAGGCGGCCGTGGGGCTGGAGCAAAATTTGCCCAACTGCTCCATTGAGCGTAATGAATAATTGATTTCGAGCCTTAAGACGGGGCGGATGAATCGGAAATTTCCCTTCGCGACCGGTATATTCGCACTCGCTGTTTCCTGGAATATCCGACACGTCGAAATGCGACGTGCGAGATAAAAATATTCTATTACAGGAAAACTCGCCACTCGGCTCGGGCTGTGCCCGAATAATAAATGGCGCGTTCGCTCAAATCACGATTTTTCTGGAAAACATATTTTTACAGATTCGTAAATTATTTACAAACGGACCGGTCATATAATACACGTGTCTCACGTTGTTTAATATGTAATTCCCTTATATACTCCGGCTTTTTGGAATTCTTTTATAATTCATACCTTATCTATTTCTTATTGCCAATATTTTACTCACTATAAGTCATTATATAGATAATTTTGTTGATTAAAATTGAAATGGATATAGAAATCGCGTATGTGTGATTATATATGCATTGAACTCAAGACAGCGTATAGTAATCATCGCAGTAGAAACGGTAACGACGCGTCCGGCGCGAAAAAAAATGTCTGACCGCAACCGGTCTGTCTCTACTTGAATTACATATCCAGTCGGCGCTCCCTCTCTCTCTCTCTTTCTCTTTCTACCTGTTATATTATGCATGAACGTAGTGTAGATACGAGTTAAATATATCTAGTAATGAACACATTTTCTTCTTAGACAAACAGATATTTAAAGAAGATTGAGTTCCGTTTAATGGAGCTTATCCATTATCCTTTCTCTGCTTTATCAATTAACTCCCCCAAACGATAAATTATTTTGTCCCTTTTCCTTTAAAAAGCCGGGATTTGTCGCCAAGGATAATAATAAATTAATCTGCCCGTCCCTCCGTCCCATTCTTCTCTTCTTTCCATTCTACTCTCTTCCTAGATACAACACCTGTTCACCCATAAACGCAAATTTACGCTTTCCGCGTGCCGGACGGGAGTGTCAGTCACGAAATGAGCCTGTCGGTCTTCCCGCGAGATCCGGCGTGAACGACGTTAAATTTACATTGGCGTCGCGAGGTCCGAGAAATCGGCCGGCTGTCACGCACTGCACCGTGGCCGAAAGTGCTTAAATTTATGTTTCGCTCGAATTTCGGAGTGATATGACCGCGCCGAATCGAATCCGTTTTGTGCGGCCGTGCACAAAACGCAATACGTATATTTAAACCCCATTAAACAATTTCGGACAGATACGTTGCAACTGGACCTAAAAGGTCCCCCGACAATCCCGCGGTAATGTAACCGTCTGCAGTTCCGTTCGTCATTTTATTCCCGATTTTCTTCGTTACTTGTCTCAATGCAATTAGGTATCGCAAATAACAGCGAAAAATAATATTAGAAATTAATAGTTGAAATATATTTTTAAACTAATAAATTTAAAAATAAACTTAAAATTATTATTAATAGTACGTTCAATAAATCTCTTCTTTCTTTGCAAGATATGTTATCTCATAATGTGTAATTTCTATTACTATGTAACCATGGGAAGATCGAGCTCATCGATTAGCATTTTCAAAAAGATCTAGCGTCATGATTGTTTAATCGTTAATTTTCATCTTTCCATTTGATTCTCGCGTTTGATCCTATCGAGCTCTCTTTGAAACTCACAGTTAAATTTGAAAAATAATCTTTTGCCATTTCAGTCTATCGATTTTGCCGATATATATATATATATAAAGCACATTTGCCTCCATTTATTACGCTCCGCTTTTTATTTTTTTTTCCTATATAAAAACACGTGCATTACCGTCGATTAACTGCAATCAATACATTAAAAAACAAATTTTATTAACTGATAAAAATCAAACGTATGAGTTGACAATTATTTGACGATTAATCGTATTAAGAGATTATTGATAATCTCGAATAAAGTGATATTTTTTCACAGATTAAATTTATCAATGTATATTCTGGAGGGCGCTATATATGTATTTAATCATATTAAGGGATAAAATATGATTGGATTTGCGTATTTCTCTCGCGATTGAAGGATGTAGATTTTTTTCTCGCGCTCCCGAAGTGTGCCAATTCTGCTGCTACGTGGCAATGCGAATTCGTTGTGCAAGGTTCTCAGTGCATATTGGCAATCGCGCAATTAAAATAGCGGAACGTCATTCAGTTGTGAGTTCCCGAATGACTCTTGCTACTGAAGTTTCTCATAATTACACTGCTGTCAATGTGTTTGCTTAATTGTCTCTCTGACATGTCATATGCGACCAAAAATAACGATTTATTGGTAATGCAATTTTTTTTCGTCAGCTCTATTTCTATCTTTTCATAGCTATACACATAATAGAAATTATACATTTTACAACAGCACTTAATTAAAGATTTATTGTGAGCAATATTAATAATAGGTGTTTAAAATCCATTAGTTTAAAAATAGAATTAATCTTCGATATTATATTTTGCCTTTTTATGGTAAAAATATTTTTATATATCTTATAAAACTTGTTTTTACAAATATTAAAATATATTTACGAGAAGATTCACTGTGTGCTAAAATATTTCTATTGATATTTTTACTTAATTTTTCATCTATATTTAGCGCACAGAAATGTTATGTTAAAATGACGAAAATTTGTTTATGCACCAGTTTAAAATTTAAACTTTGTTTCAAATTAAAAATTAAATATTATACAGAACTTTATTGTACTATATTCATACAATTTGCATAAATGGAATGCAATGTTTTTTGCCGCTATGGAAATAGCCTAGAAATAATGATAACAATCGACAGAGAGAAATTTCAAAACGTCGTATAAAATTGTCGTATTTACATTCAAAACGGGGGAGTTCCCGCTTATTGAGATGTTGCAACGAAAGATCGTCGCACGTGACGTTTAATTAAGCATTGCATTAATGAAGCAACGTAAGTGATGTCAAGGTTTCGAGATTGAGTCAGATACGCCTAATTAAAGATATACCAGATAAACTATTCGGAGTCTGGCTTGACGCACACGAGCATACGTTCTGTTTCATTAGAATTCTGGTTTAATTAAGCGCTTTTATAAAAGGATGATTTATTATTCTAACGCGGCGGTTCTTTGAAATATCACAGTGAGATACTTTTATGAGACATTTATGAGATGTCATACTTATTATAACATCTATATATAGTTACTGTTAATTAAAAAATATGTCATATAATTTTTTTCTCCGTTATTTCAATGTGTGACAATGAAAAATAATTTAACACTCCCTTTGACGCACGATGCACAGTGTCGGAGCTGTAATTGTCTAATTATATCGTAATGACGTGTAACTTAATTCGTAACATACTATAATGTAAAAGGTATAATAGATGTATCAAAGGTATATGAAGAAAATATGTTGCGCGTATTATATATATATAATTACACGATGATACTAAAACGCATAAGTGTCGCTTTAGCATTATTGTGCAATCGTATAACATGTAATTATAAAACGTCATGCGAGTGTCGTAGAGATAAATAATTGAAAAATAATTGATAAATCACGAGAAAAAGTGAATAAAATATAAAATATTATTTATTGCAGTTACTATAGTTGTGCATGCTCGTCTGATTTCTCTTCCTCTTGATTCCTTATAGTTAGTCGATCGTTGGCGCTTGTTGCCATTTCTTGATGGCAATCACGAATGATTCACTCGCGAGAACACGGTTAATTACGGTGTCGCATGTGTTGCACTATAACAGAATACAATAATCCCGCGACAATTTGCGTGACGTTTTCCTCGTATTTTATTACGACAGCGCGAGAGAGGCAATAACGCCTCGCCCGACGACCCGATGTGTCTCGCAAACTATAATAATTAGTATCCTGACAGGGGATCTTAATCTCACGTTTCTCATCCCCTATCGGCAGTCGGCATCGCGACTTCAAAGGAGCGAGTCGCGCGGTATATCGGCTTTAATAAGTAGCCGTATACACATCAGTGAACGTTTACGAATCGTGGGAGTCAATTAATCATGTAGGTGGGATAATTGTAACGAGGAGCAAATCGCGTTTTGAAGAATAATAATAACACGAGAGCGGAGCGGCCTCCGCTCGGCTCTCGTCGCGCAAATGATAACGAGATGGCTGCGTGTATGTGCATAGCGGTCCGCCGATACCGTCGATAGTAGTGTCGCAACAAAAGTTGCAAAAAAAAACCAAGCGCCGAACGCCGCGTACCAAAACGGATTTATCACCGCTACGAAATATTCAACGTATTGTAAAATTAAACGTACGCTGAATATTCCGGTACCTCGCGCATTGAATTAATCTCGATGCGAACGGGACTATTATCGCACGGCTATACCCAGCGTTTATTTGAAGAATAAAATTATCGTGCGAATAAATCCAACGTTTGTTTGAAAAATAAAATTTATCTCCTTGAATTTTGCGATTCTAATTAATCTCTGAAATATACGTCCCTCCCCTGGCACGGCGCGACGCTCGCGAGTAACGCACACGCCGTATGTATAAATTATATTTTTTTAAATTCATTTATTGAATTATTCTTCGTTCAAATTTATTTTTAATTTGTTCGACGCTATATGGCGCTTATGCGGCCTTGCATTTTCAATCTACAATTCATAACGTTAATTCGCGGCTTCTGATTCCCGCGCGTAACTCGACATCGTAACAAAAGCACGGGTGTCATGTAAGGATTATTCATAACAATCCATGAGTATCCCGATATATCTGTACGTCGCGTAATGCAGAAATCGATACTAATTATAGTATTTGTATGCACATTATATGTATGTCTCACGTAATGCTGTTCGTAGGATGTATTAAATGTCTCATACGTCACGTGTGATAAACGTCACTTATATATAGATATATATGTGTCGGCAAATTTTGAATCAATGGCTTCTTAAAATAAAAATCTATAAACTGCATATGTTTAAGCGACTCTAAAACTTTAAAATTATATAACATTCGAATACTTTTTTTTACAATTGTGTATGAGACAATTTTATTCCCAGAGAGATTTAATTTAGTTTCCAAGTCAATTGCCGAGAGATACGTACGGATAAAAATTAAAAAGTTAAGCAACAGAGATTGCAAACTCTTTTCGTTAACTCGAAATTCAGCGAAAAATATGATGAGAAAGAGTGCAACGTGTGATTTATGGAAGAACCTGTACAATTATGACCTTTAACATTGCACCGCGATGCTGTGCCATCATGTAATCCGACGACCACGCTTCTGCAGTATCAATTAATGCATATGATTGTCACGCCTGAGTTGATCGAAAATCAAAACTATTTCTTTCTCCTCGTTTTCTCGAATCCAATTGCAAGATTTTAGCAATTCTCGATACGTATTTATCATTTTTAAGGAAATCAAATATTAGGTTTATGAAATTTGCGTTTAGAATATACCTAAATGATAAAAGCTTCTTAGAAAAACAACATTTAAGATATCTTAGAAAAACAACTTTTATATAATATCTTTTATAAAGCACATATATGTGTACAATTTAAAGTGTTTTAGAAATGCAATTTAAAGCTGTGAGAAATTAGATTTGTGTAAATAAAGTTAGATTTGCGAGAAATAAACATCTTCCAGTTATGATATATTATCATAATGCATTATGTTTTTCACACTCTTCTTAGACAAATTATATCTTCTGGTTGAAGATAAATATATCAGCCTCTTATTTCCCTCGAATCTCTAGTCGGTACCTCGTCAAGGTTGACAAACTGATTTAAATGGGAGAATGCTCGAGGGATGAAAGGAATGATCAGGGACGAGAACAGCTTCCTGCCTTCCTCTCGAGCAACCCCCTCCCTCTGTCATAAATGGCTCGATATTACTCGCGACGGTCAATCGATCTTCATTAAATAGAGAGAGGGCCTGCAATTTGCATAGAAAAATCGAGCGCGTGCGGGCGCGTCCCATAAAAGATGAAAGAAGACGACGGTATGTCAGTGTCAGTCGACGGATGCACGTTGCCGGGCCGGAGAAAATCGATCTATCACGATCGAGACGTCACTCCCGACATTCGAGCACACAGGGGACGATCAACAATTTATAAACCCGCGACCGCGCTCGCTCGGCTCGCTCACTGGACACGGAGCGTTGTTGTTTTTTTTTTCTCTCTAAAATCCCGAAAACTCGATTTCCATGTTTACGCGATTACGATAAAATATCAATGTGGCACGGCCGGCGTTTGTCCATTTCGCTGTGCCAAATTTGAGACAGTGCCTATCTGTCTAAGCACGCTCGATATCGACCTGCCGCGAGACCGGCGGACTAATTTTAGACTATTGCATCAAGTTTTATAGAACGTTATTATAAAGTAAAAAGGTTCACCAAGAGTAATCGCGGTATATTTAGGATGGCAGACATTTCTCTACCACAGCTGAAAAAAAAAAAATATTCGCGAGCTTTATATCCAAGTCGTCTTAATTTCACATTTTCAGAAACTGCAGAGCGTGCAGCGGTAACGTCGAAGCCGCGAACAGAAGCACAGAGATACGATTTCCGCTCTTCTTTTAGACACGAATTTGGAATAGCTGATGAATAAATCGCAGCTCTTAAATTTTCTGCAATTCTCATCTCCAAAACCGTCTGCTCCGCGGTCTCTCGTAGCCCGTATAATTATTAACGCGCAATTACATAAGAGGCCGAGCACTCTTCTCGGTCGCGAGAGTCGGAATAAGGCCTCCTTGTCGCTTCGATCGGGTCGTTTTTCACTCGGGACGGGATCTCGTTCAGAATTTAGAGCCCTCGGACGACGAGAACGTCGTATCGCGGACACACACGCTTCGTTGTCCCCGGGATAAATGGGGATACACCCCGTGTGCACGATAGCCTTTCTCAGAGACGCGTGACGTCGCCGATGAGGTACAGCATCGGTATTATACCCAATCCCAAGAGGAGGTGGGGGCGGAGGAGAACGGCTCCATTGTCCGAGCCCGAATTGCCACGACGTTGTCTCCGACGGGCAGAATTACAGAGCCGAGTTTCGCGCGTCGTTAAGCCTTAAGTACTGACACGTCATCCGCGGCTGGAAATATGTAACGTTACCTCTGGGTTAACAGATGCGCGCATTGTCGTAATTGGAGCACGGAGATAAATTTTGCAGTTACGTTTAAACGTCGGGCATTAGCGGACGCGCTTACCCGGTAGAGCGTTGGAAAATTCAAGAAAGATTACAAAGTTAATTAAATAAATGATTGAATGTCGTTCGTTTTATCGATTGTAAGACGAATTCTTTCCCCAATTTTCGCTCGTCCCTCGCTTCACTATACCTTCGTTATGTTTTTCTTCGTAAGGCGCTTGTATAAGCTTGCGCCTAAATTGCGAGCCTTCGTCAATGCTCACAATTAAAAGACGAGGACGATGTCATTGCGGATTCGTTTCGTATTCGGGGGGAATAACGATCGCGTTGTTTTCTTTGCCGCGAGGAGCAGTTTCCGTTTTCGCATGAGAGAACTCGCGGAAGATGAAAAGCGTCGTCCTCGTTCACGTTAAAGCGATTTGTACGAGCGTAAGAGGGAGTCGCCTTGTTTAAGGAAAGAAATGAGAACGGATGTAACGACGTACTGACAGATACCGACGTACTGTCGATCTCGCGGAAAAACCAGCGAGAGCTTCTCTTGAAAATGGTTGTACGTAGACTAATACCCTTTCATTCATTGCAGGATCGTTACCTGATATCGCAGTGACGATGGCATCGGGCAGGGAAATCCACGGTGCTTTCAGGTGAGCTGAAATTTATAAAATATACAAAATTACACATCAAATCTTGGTATCCTGAATATTTGATTCTTATCATGTTTTTTTTTAAATATTTTATACAGAGCTGCACGATTCTTCTAAATGGATAAAATGTTACTATTTGATTCTGCAAAAAGCAATAACTTTGTTCATCTATATTTTAATTTTGGACATAGCGAAATTTTTTAATAATTTTAATGGGTTCATCTTTTATTTGATGTTTACATGTGAGTGATTCAGTTTGTTTCTTTTCGCGTATTCACTTTTCTTGCTTTACGCAAAGTCTCGCCCGACTGCACTCAAAAAAAGGTTACATACATAATGCATATAGATACACACATACACATATGTCAGTGATTTCGCCGCAGGAAGCCGGTTATTTCAAGGATTTTCGTGGGTGTATGTTTTGCGCGCGACCTTTAGAAATTCATTATTACGCGAGATGTGCGAGAACGAGGAATTAGTTAGCCGTCTGTTATATTAATCTACACCTCTCACGAACATGGTATAACTTCTTCTTTTAGCGATCGAATATTCTTTAGTCAAACTATGACTTCATTTTTTTCATACGTTTATTTAAATAATATGACACAGCAAAAATTACTTGGTCATACTGCGAGAGTTTCCTAAAAAAAAATCTTAAAAAAAGATCCCCTAGTTAAAAAAAAATTTATTACTTTAAATTTGAATCATCTTGGAGGGATATTTAATATCGAAATATTCCAGGAATAATTTTTTTCCGTTTAATTTCAAGAACACTTAATTTTAATCATTTGATTCGAGCCACGATGTATTCCACTCTTTGGGAGCATTGCTGAAGAAAGAAGTCGTCTAATTATCTGGAGAATCTTAGTGGATGCAGAGCACAAGAATTGTACATAATGCACAAATCATGACTTTTGCCGATAACCTTCTGCATTGTATCAAAATATAGACTTTGTGTTAAAATTAATTAAATTTACTAATTAAACGGAGAAAAACGCGTTTCTGTTAACAATAAATTATGTACACCCTCACGTTTTCCGTGACATTTGCAAATTCTCGCGACGTGGGCGTCGGCGAATAGGACGGCGGGGCACCTTTGACGGTACATCGATACGAGCTGCCGCCGCCGCACAAATAGAAATAGCTTAAATTTTATAGAATATCATTACTTTTATATTTAGCCGGTATCAAATCAATATTTCACGAGATGCAGCACGCCGCCGGTCGATACCTATATAATATCTATCAGCATTACTTCGAAATATCGACATTGTAAAATTAATTAAGAAGAAAAGTGTTTCCGCGACGTAAATAAATTAACGAAAATCAATTGCGATTTATTTTACGGATCTTGAAAAGTCGAGCTCGGGCTGATTAATTTCAGATCCATCGACTCTTCGGTCATTCAATGTTAAGTAATTTGATGTTATATATATAATATACACTCGTGTGAGGAATCTTTAGCGAGGTATCCTGATAGACACACTCGAGATCTCGTAAACATCCTCATGAAACAAATAACACATTTCAATTCACGGCGCGGCGCGTTTCGCCGCTAATCCGGGCTATTTTCGTCGCGCAATTACCGCCAAATATAATTGTTCGATTCTCCCGTCTACGTCTACGGCTCACTCGCGGATATGATATTTCCACGAATAAAATTCGGCATTAGAGCAGAGTCGTGATCAGAATAGCGGGCACGGATTTAGAGTACAAGTATCGATCGCGTCTTCTCGCCGGAGACACGATAAGAAGCAAGCGACGACGACGGCTCGAGAGTCGCGCGATTTCGAGCGGTTTCGCGATAGCGCAACGAGGAGGGGAGGGCCGATCGGTCAGTGTGTGAATGGATGGAAGGAAAAAATTGCCCAGCGCGAGAGCGGCGGAGAGCAGCGCGAACGCGCGCGCGCACTCGCGATCTTATTCTTAGCGGCGTTACTTTATTTTTATTGTGCTTATAGCGCGGCATCGATCGATCTCGCACTCGCGCGCATACCGCGAGTTGACGTCGTTCGATCTGATAGCCGCTCATAAGTAATGCAACGAGAAAGTAGTATTGCCGCGTCATAGGCAGACGCTGAATGAAGAAACCGCGGCGCGGAAGTATCGGGCCTATCTTTAGTTGCGGCAAAGTTACGCCGGTTTCTACGTGATGCCGCCTGAACCCACTGCAATCGAGGAGCAAGTCAAACATTTTACACAAAAGTAAAAGGAACATTATAAAACGGTAGAAATGATTACGTTAGGTAAACTGAACTGATATTTGTAATTCCGTAAGTAGTTATAGCTTGAAAAAATATTTCACTACGTTAAGAATCGGGGGCAATTCAAACATTTTATACAAAAGTAAAAGGAACATTATAAAACGGGACAGCAGAAATAATTGCGTTACGTAAACTGTGAACTGATATTTGTATAATTCTGTAAATAGTTATAGCTCGGAAAAATATTTCACTACGTTAAGAATCGATGCTGAATATGCAAGAGAAACAATTAGTACCGAAATAGTTAAATTAATTAAGGAAATCATTATATTGTGTAATTAATTTTTAAAGATAGCAATTTTTTTTTATTTTCATACCGGATGGATAAGAGACTCGTCGTGTAAAGAAATAACCGTACACGGAGAGAAATTTATTTTAAAATTTACCCTGAAAATCATGTCAATCGTAGGATAACATAGTATTTCAATGAATTTTATGTGATTTTCATTATTTTTTAAAATATATACTACAACAAATTTATTGTAGTGCATAGTAAAATTTGTCAAAATACTATGTTTGTCCCACGATTAACATGATTTTCAGGGTAAATTTTAAAAGGAAATTCTCTCCGTGTACGATCTTAATAACCATATTCAAAGAGATTATCGCTGTAACGAATTGAAAAAGCTCGCGGGGATATTCAATCTTTCGGACGTTTAACACAAAACCGCTGGCCACGTGTAATCACGTTGTTCATCGACATATACTTCCGGTTGTAAACGAAATACTCCCTCAGTGCCCGCGGGATGCGGAAATATTTTCGGCGTATGTAATGGCGCTTTTAACTCCCTCGTGAAATCCGGCAATCGATATACTCCGGGTAGGCCCCCCCCCTCTCTCTCTCTCTCTCTCGCGAAGTTCGGCCGAATCGGAGATTGGAAAGTTCCGCACTAAATTTCGCCCGAAAATGCGGTCGGTTTCGTTTTCCCGGTTGGACACCGCCGCCGCCGTCCATTCATGCTCGGAACGATCCTCGCTAAGCCGCCGAGTCCTTGACGTCACGTTTAAGATGCCGTTAGAAGATTATATGGGCCGAGAGAGAGTTAAGTTCCTGAGGGCACACCCGCAGAGACACGTGAGAGGCGCGGTGATGGCCGTCCGACTCTTCATCAGACTCTTCATCAGTTAAAACAATGCGGATCTATTATTTTTGAATCCGTCGCGAAAAAAGGAAAAAAAAAGAAATTAATTGGATCACATTCCCGCGATCGTCGAAATCGCATTTGCGCGTTTACTCGAGCGCAATCAAGCGCCCATTCACACGCATCCTCCACCTTTTCCCATCCCGGCGTAATCTCTCGAATAATATCCGAACCGTTCGGCTCGAAAGAGGAAATGCCAGACGAATCTTTAAACGCAATCGTCCGCGCGTTTAACGTTACTACTCTCGATTCCTGGATCTTGATTTATCACCCGAGTCGAGTTTATAAGCTCAAAAGTTTTTAAGACTTGAAATTAAAAAAAATTGACCAATCGTAGTACACATCTCACGTGAGAAAAATAATCGATTGTGATTCAATTTTTTTAAATCTTAAGTTTCAAGTATAGACACCGCTTTACCGTGCAAAGATTCCGTATCTTCGAAAGTTAAAGGAAAAGTATATCTGTGTGATGGAATATAACGTGGTCTTATGTTTAATCATCAGAATTCAGCAAGAGAGCAAACAAAACTCGTGTTCGTTGCGATTGAATGTTGATTTTGTACGATTATGCACATGTATTTTGCGCGATTTCCGAAAAATCAATACTTTTCCGCGGCAACACGCGGCTGTGCCGGCACACTAGTGACGTAACGCCTGACGCAAGCGACAATCGTTGCGGCCGCGATGCCGCAGAGCCTCTCTAGGCGGAACGTCGATAGTACATCGGACGTCATGAATGCATTTGCCTTCCTTAGATCGGCATTTTCTGAAACGGGTACGTCATACCTCTGACACAGCGTTTTATTTGAACAATAATTATAAATACCACCTTAGTTTTCATTTAAAAAAAATACAAGTATTATTTTCCTATATATTGTACATCAAAATAAAATGATTTTCAAAGAATACGGGAAATGTAATAACGACACAACATGTATTAACGCAAAATATTCAAAGTAATTGTCATAGGAGTTTTTCTATGTTCATAAAACATTGAAGGATCAAAATTTAACGCAATATTAAAATCGCGAAATGGCCAATTTTACCGTAGAGAGAACTGCAGGAAAAAAACAGGAACAACATAAATACGTAGCGAAAGATATAAAAATGTCAAACGTTAAATGGAGCTTTTTTTATTGTCAAAGAAGACCGTTCCGTTCCATCAATCGGAGCTTATAAACGTTTTGCAACATACGATACGTTTTTTTTTTCGCGGATGCAGTTTTATGTACGGTGACCCACGGAGGATTGCGATTAAAGTCGCGCGGATTGCGAAATTCGCGAAATCTCGCGCCACGGCCATCGCCGATTAATCTCCGCTTCGATCGTCGCCCTCTGCCCTTTCGAAACGTTCCTTCGACCCCGTTCCGCCGGCGCGGCAGCGTGCCATGAAAATGGTTTGTGATTACCGCGGCGGCAGGCATTCGCGCTGACGAGGCGAATATATATATATTCTGTCTTCCGTCCGCGTTTTATCCTTAACCCGTCGCGAAATTGATTTCGCCACTCGTCCCGGGTGAATAGCCGTCGTCGTTCGAGAAAAGTAGGTAACCACCGGAACGCGAAGATCACAATGTTCGCGTTTCTCTTTTCACGGTGTTCTGTCCGGAGAACACGGATTTTGTATATCGTTGAACAAATATCTCGTGTCGGAGTAAATTGATTTCAATATTCAAGCGTGATGTTTTTTTTTCCTTAGTCTCACATTCCGTTAGACTTGCTATTATATCGCCGTACTAAATTTCGGTTTTAATAATTCACTTTTAAGTTTTCAAGTTTTTAATACCTACCGAAAATGTATACCGGTACAAGTTCCGCTTTAATTAAGCGGAACTTTAATTAGCGCTCGAAGTAGAATAACGTTCCGGCTCGCTCGTGTATATCATTTCTATTTCGGCAATCGCAGATTGCGCGCGGATTAAACTTTCAACTTTATTTCGAGCAAAAAGGATTTCCCGAAAAAAAAATCCTTATAGCACATTTCTCATTTCGTTCCCCGAAATTAAACACCCCGATTCTCTCGAAAGTTTATTTCGATCCCTATCGCGCGGTGGCGGCGGCGGCGGCTTGGAGAGAGGGGGAGGGGGGAGATCTTCTTCGCCTCATCGATAATCCTGTCGCCAATAAGCATCGGCGAAATGAGCAAAGTTTCAAGGTATATAATCAATCCGGGGAGGGGTTCAGTCACGCGTCCCAATGCAAAGTCGAAGGCGAGTTTCGTAGGCGCCGTATTTTCTATTTGCGCTTCACGATGTTGCGCCGCGATAACGCATCCGTCTTTTTCCGCCGGTGATATCAGCGGGTCCGGCGAAGGAAGCTCGTAAATCCCGAGCGTAAACAACGCCCTAAAACGCGAGACGTGTTGGAGAGGGATAATTCTAGATTCGATTGTACCGCGGCCCCGCTATATATATATATATATGTAACGTTGAAGCGATGAAGTGTATATTTGTGTGTGTTTGTGTGTGTGGGTGCAACAAGATACCAGGGCCTGTAAACGAGACTCGGGACACATACTCGGCTCTCGGATTGATACTCGCGGCAGTTTTCGCGAGTACGAACCTCGCGAAGGACGCGACGAGAAGCAGAAGAAATCGTTCTGTCGCGTTGATCTCGCTACGCGCAACGATCTCTCCTCCTCCCCCCTCCCTTTCTTCGCAATTTCTCCATGTTCCATATACCGAATATTTCCAGGTGACGTAGAAATTCTGAGGAAATACGCGCGAATAATTTCTGCGCTTTATTCACGCGCGAATGGCCTTTCCCGCGACGACATCGTTCCGGTTCGACGGGACCCAGGGTGTTTACGGAGCGCGACGGAAATCTCGCTGTCAGTTCAATACATATCGCGTGAAATAATTCTCAGAAATCACCTTGCGATTTTTCGAAAAAGAGATACGAAACGTTTCCGGTTGCCGCACATAATACCACTGCACTATACCGATAACGATCTGATATTGTTATCGAGAGTACGCGCGTATATATATACCGTCAAGTATATACACATCGCGCGAATCGGATTTTCCTTTGACGTCGATAGCAGATACGATACGGATTTACGCGCGCGTTTCAGCCCGCAATGACGCCGCCCGCGCGCGACACAGCGAGCCCTCGAGGGGCCACGTACGTCAGCCCCCGCGAAAAAGTGGAATAAATAAATAACGCGAATGGAATAAATTGGACGCAGAAAATGACGAACGTCATTTTATAATTCCCGTTGAAAACGGGAGGAAGAGATCAGGAAGCGAGCGTATATAGATTCGCAGAAAATAATCGGCGGTAATTGTATAGCTTCTATATCGACGACGCGACAAATCGCGAAGTCACTGACGTAAAAGGCAATGACTCATCTTGTTTTTCTTTGTAGTCAGCATCTTCTCGATTTCGTTCAGGCATGGCTATTCTATTCGCACATTTATTTATTTATTTGCTCCGCTCCGTTTCGTGTCACCGCTATATTATTATACATTTTTAACGCTCGTATGTACCTGCAGCCTCATCGTGGACGACGTGGACTCGCACTCGATTCTGAGCGACGGCTCCGACCTGGACGGGCTGTCGCGCGAGAGCAGCTCGCAGAACTCGGCGTCGCAGACGCCGCTGGACAGCCCCGGCGGGCCGCGGGAGAGGATCAAGCAGATCCAGGTGGAGGCCGAGACCAGGCGGGGCGAGTTCGCCAGGCTGCTGGAGGAGCACGCGCAGGTGGTGCGCAAGCTGAAGATGATGGAGGCGGAGGAGCAGCTGTCGGCGACGACGACGGCGACGGCGACCGGGAACGCGGCGGTGATCGGCGGCGCGCACGCGTGATTTTACGACCTCATCATCGCCGACGACGTCGCCGGGACGACACCGAGGGTGACACCGAGGGTCGGGACCACCGCGCCGACGACCGTCGTACGACCGACCACCACCGCCTCACCGCGTTTCCCCCTCGTCCGCCTCGACCGCGAAATCCCAGCCGGACGGGCCACCGTCGTCCGTCGCGATTCGCAGACGAGACGCGGATGATCGAAGCGAACATCTTCGCTTTGGACGCTTTGGATTTATTAACTCTCGGACGCACCCCGGATCCGGCCTACGAGATATTCAAGGGACACACAGAATATAAACGTTTGTAGGGAGGTAACGGGTGCAGCCAAGAGTTAACTGCGGGGGAAGAGAGAAATCTGGACTCGAGAGGACTTCTCTTACTATTTTTTCCTTTTCTCTATACATTTATGTAGTTTCGTTCCGCTCTCTGATTTCCGCTTCGGATTAATTCAATTTACGCCGCTTTGATTTACTTGAAATAAAGACTGAAATTAAATTGGAGATAAACCTGATGTAAAAATAAACTATAAGAGTTTAAATTTCACATTGTTTATTAATTTATGGCAACTGAATGGAGCAATCGTTATCTTGCATGTTCATGGAAATTCAAATTAAGGGCTTAATATATTAGGTTGTAGTGCGAAATTTGAAACGAACTTTCCGAACAACCTAATATGTAGGCTTATTTTTCACAAAGTTTTTATATATTATGATAAACGCGCATTTATTATTGCGATACGCGATTATATTATAAGTACGTAGCTTCTCGCAATTTCATTTGTGATTTGAATGAAGTATACCGTTTGAAAAAATTCGAGAAATGCGCCATTCGAGCGTATAATTTCACCAACGTATATACGTAACACATTCATGAATTCGAAGCGAAGCCTTTCTGTACGTCATCCGATTTCGCGTGAATCGAATTAAAGCGAGCCCGCAATTGGCAAAGATCGAAGGGTAATCAGCCTCCCACGACGGGGATCGTCCTTATTTAACCCTTGTTTGCAACAAAGTCTGAATTAAAAAAAAAAATACTACTAGACACGACAATAATGAGGAACACTTTTAATGGGGAACGTGCGCGAAAGCCGCGGTTGCGTTTTGTTCACAACGCGTGGAACAGGGAAACTCCCGCCCGTTCGAACTAGCTCAGCAGCAACGGCTGGCCTAAGCGTAGTACAAATTTTGCAGTGAAGTCTTAATAAAAGAAAAAAAAATGAAAAAAAGATGTGCGAGTGGGCCGAGAGAAAGAAAGAGAGAGAAAGAGTTTCCGATGTAATCAACGGGGATCCGACGCGTCGACGGCGAGAGAGAGAAAGAAAGAGAGAGAGAGAGACACAATTCGCGCCGTCGCGATCGTTTCGCGGAGGAAACGCAGGTGCTAGAGTGGACATGGTGTCGTATACACACGAACACACGTAGCCTACTCTCGAGACACAACGGGGTGTACAAGCTTCTACGTTTTATATAGTGTTGTAGAATTGAGTGTTCCATATAAGTGTAAGCTAGTTTTGTAATATCGTAAATATACGTGTACGATAAAGGCGGATTCTGCGGCCGGTCTGACGGAGGAACGCGGCTCTTTTGTACATAGATTTCTTTTTATCACACATACGCATAACGAGGCCCGGTCGTACCGATCGATTATTGTCACCAATTAGTCCCGATTATACAGCGACTTTCTGTACCTCTTTCTGTGCCGCAGTCCCGGCCACGTTTACGTGGACAAAATTGCGGAATTATTATTTAAATGTAAAAGTCACGTCTCCTTTCTTGAATAATATTTCAAAGATTTCTTTTTAAATCGCAATAATTAAATTGTCAATAAAAGATTACAAAAATGTTAAACAATATCGATGTCGAATTAGTAAAAGAATTACTTGTGAAAAATATAACACGTTAAATTAATTTAAAAAATATTGACGATAAATTTTATAATTAAATTGTAATTTAAATTATAAGAGGAAAGAGGGACACAAAACGTTAGCTCGAAATTAATTAATGAAGATTATCGGTACGATCGGACTTGGATACTTTACGAAGCTCGAGAGAGGAATTACTAGAGCTAAAGGAGAAGACGCGCCGGAAGTGATGCTACTTAATTTCGTCATTTTACTCTTAACATTAAGGGGTTTGTATAAAATGTGGGCTGCTGTGAGCCTCGACGACACTCTCTGCTAATTTTCTACACGTGCTGCGTCAGACCCGCATCCAGATGACATAGGTATTATTAGGCATTTATAGACTTATATATACATATACTTAAAGAGAGACACATAAGTAGACCTGTGTTAAATAATATAGCCCTAGTGTAAAGATGTCTGTTATTGCACATTGCGCCAGCCTACGCGAGTCCGGCAATCAGGACATCTCCTCCTCGCCTTTAATTCGTAAGACGTCAGAAGATAAATCGTCAATTCGAACTGAATTGTCAATCGTTCTCTCGCTTCTCTCGCCAACTGAAATAACGATCGCTCACACATTGGGTATTTTTCCAGAGTATGATTGCATAGAAAAAATAAGCGAATAAATCTGCATAAAACTTATTTTCGGAGATGTGGTTGAAAACATAGAAAACGCGCTGTACCCATTTTAATAGAAATTATAGTACCTAATATACGTGAATAATTTGGTAATATTCTAGTCTTTCTTGAAAATAGACGCGATAGAGAAATTTCAGGAAAGATATCCTGATCGCCGTTATCATCGACTGGCGCATTGTGCAAAACCAAGAAGACAGTCCTAATACGTAAGGAATAGACAGGAATGATTTTAGCTGCTCAGAAACGTAAGATGCTTTAAAGGAAATTTTGCGACTGAAAGTGATACTGCGAGGCAATAAATTTCTCCAACGTACTCGGGATGAAGACTGTGCGTGGATTAGCGCGTGGGAACGAATGCGAAACGAAAAATCTGCATTATTTTTTTGCCGCTGCGAGATTCCTACGGACGTTTACTATTACGTTAAGAGATACTACAGATACGTATAAAAAAAAAAAACCTATATTGTCACCATACAGTAGTTTTTACTTATACTATTATATTCGTACGACTGCATGTTATAGAGGCGGCTGTATATGATATATACATTTATCAAGTTTGTAACGAAACGCTGTGAAAAGAACGCGATTTTGATTTCGCGTGAGTAAAAAAAAAATTGCGAGCGAGAAAAACCGCGGCTCGAAGTTAGCTCGAATATTTTAGCTCGGTTCCGCTTTCTATCGCTGCAATGGGAAAAAAAAAATATGAGCTGCTTCTCGGAGACTCAAGAAAAATGCAATGTAATATTATATCACGCCGAGTTAATGTTAACGTAATCGAGATTTATATATGTAAATTTTCGATGTAATCGTAACGTGTGAGATACGCGACGACACGCTGTTGAGTTTTATTATTAAGAGAAAACCGCTGCTTGACTAATTATTTATATAGCCTCATGTATGCGAAATAATAATGTATGTAAAATGATGGTTGCTACTGGAAAAAATATACATATATTTTATTGAGTTGAGACAATGAAACGTATAGTTGCACTTTCTTTCGCAGTAACAACTTCTATTTCTCAAGCGCGCAAAATTTTGTCGCTGGTTAATATAAATATGTTATCACATTTTTTACAAAATACTCTTGATGTATTATCGACTTCTATTATTTGGTATAACATATAACACCTTATGCGTAAATATTACACAGTGCCATTTGTTTAACTCAAATCTATTATCTACAATAATGAGTCTACGGATACAATGAAAAAAATGTACATGTGAAGAATATAAAAGTAATACACTCCACGCAATAGATAGAGATGTCTCGACGACGTGAATCGGACAGAACTTATGATTACTTAAATAGTTCTGAAATATGTGACATAGAAGTATTTTTTTAGCAAACTTATGCACTATTAGTATGACTTTTCTAAACAGATGATACATTTTTATTATACAACTGCATATCGAATTCAATTTCATTAAAAGACACGTCATATATCACATTCGAGAAATTAAAATTCTGATCTCCAATTATAAATAACGATTGTAAATAATAATAATAAGCGTCTTTTGTCATTTCGTAAAAGAGATATGCAATCACAATTCTGTTTTACGTCTCTGTCGCTCGGTGAGACGACAATAGCATTATTCTATGGCTTAGCTTTACATTGTGATCCCTCAAATATCTTATAAAGTCTGCCTGCTTTTCCAGCAGTTCCTCCAAATTCCTCCCTCTCTGACGATACCCGATTTCCCCCATTCCGGAGTAGGAATCCTGTGTAAAGGGCGACAGCCATTCGTCGCGAGTGACGTCGGGCGATGGACGTAATCGATTGAATCTCATAACTCTCTCTATATGTGGAAAACAAATATTGGCAAATCGCAATAAAAGACGATCAACTTCGATATTTTTAGTGTTATATTACATAAAGTATACACTCTAAATGTTTTAATCTTCAAATAAAACATTTTCTCTGAGAAAAGTTTTAATGAAATCTCAAACTTGTTTTTAATGTTACTTATATTTCGTTTTACATAAATTCTTTTGTATGTTTTTAATTTAATAGCCCAAAAAAATTATTTTTCCACAAAAGATCTTTTTCTATCTAATTAATTCTGTCTAGATATATTCTCTCCTCGCAATATACTTACTGATATAATTAATGTAAGCCGGCACGATTATCACGAGTTCCAAAGCAGTTAGGAGGAAAATATAGTTGAGCGGCGTGAACCACTCTGACTTCCTGCAATATTGCTCGTAGTCGACTTTATGCGTGTGATGTAGAATCACAGCTAGCAACAAGTAGCATGTGTTCCACAGCGACGTGATGAAGAGGGGCGTCCTTATAAGTTGATACGTCGACTGATAGAAATCTAGATACCCATTAATACGCAAACTGTGGTGTCTCGCCTTGACAACGTGGTCTATCGCCATGACTATTAGCCAGTAGGCACAGTGGAGGTACAAGTATATAAAATACGTGTCGCATTTGTTCTGTTCCTCCGGCCAAATCGACACAAACACAATCCCACAGATCTCCAAGCAGACCTACGATACAAAAAGTTGCTCCAATGTGTATTCAGTCCGAACCTTTAAATATCCTAAAAGCCTAAAGACACAACACAGCGGGGCGAGATATACCTACACCAAGTAAAAGTGGAATCGACACGATTGACACAGTGTTCAATGGCTGAAAATTGTCTTCCTCCTGAGAGCTCAAGATTGGCTGAAAGTACCCCTCGTCTTCCATTTTAATAGGTTGATCGAATGACACTCATGAAGTATTGTACATCCTAAACAAATTGCCATAATAGTTAAAGTCTAGTACTTTCTTAAGTACGACAGCTAAATATGTAAAATACAAACAAAAATTATACACGTGGGAAATAACATCTATTAACATTTACAAACAGTGGACATTTTTACAAACGAGAAATCTGTAGCTTTGGAACTCTGCATGCTTCCACAAGATGAAAGTCGAAGGAGCAAAGAGGGTAAAATAGACAGAGGAGAAATTAAGACGAGATTGGTGCTAATCAACAGTTTCACAAGCGTTTCACTTCAAGTTTTCCAATCTAGCGATAAAAGACAGGACTCAAAGATATTAAGAAGAGAGATTAATCGAAAGGAAAAATTACAAGAGGCAACACTTCTACCTGGAGAACAAACCAAGTCTTTTAGATCCTTCTTATCGATATATTTCTCTGCGCATCATTTGTCTCTCATTGATACATCCTAGGATGAGTCAGCGTGAGAGGAAGTGATGAAATGAACGGCTAAGAATATAATCCACGTAATCTACACCGTATGTATGTTATATAAAAAAAAAATGACAGGGACGTTTCCGACCAAGTCAACACCGCTCGTTGCCAATCGCAATTGACGCAAATACCGTCTCCACGTGTCCACGGCTTGAAATGCAATGTAAAAACTCGCTAATCGAATTTGGCGTCGACGTGACAGCCGTCGCGCAAAATGCGATCCCCAAACGTTCCCCGACAATCGCGCAAATGGAGGAGCAAAGTCGCACTGCACACGCAGCAACGTCAACACGGGCAGTCGCGTACACACTTCGAAGTGAATATTTTAATGCCCGTAATGAGAAGGAAGAAAAATAGTGACTCGATCAATTAAAAGAACTTGGGAATACAGCCTTCACCACATACACATATATACACACACACACGCGTACAAGTAACGAAGAAATTAGGAAATTTATGTAACATTCACCCCCCTCGAATCGGGCACCTCAAATCGTGCCTAAGCACGAGTCTGCGGCATCAGTCATATGGTCGAGGGTAGGATGGAGGTTAGGTGTCAAGTTTTAAGACTAGGATCTCTAGGGTACTCACGGAAGCGACGGGAAAGTTGCGATCGCTCGTCTCTAGGTTAGGATTAGGTTATGTTTACGTCCGCGGCGTCGGGCTGGCGGCGGACGATAGCTGAGAGCCCGTAACGAGAAAAGAAGAAAAAAATAGTGACTCGATCAATGAAAAGAACTTGGGAATACAGCCATCAGCACATACGCATATATGCACACACGTATAAATAACGAAGAAATTAGGAAATTAATGTAACATGCACCCTTCTCCCCATCCTCTCGCGAGCACCTTAAATCGTGCCCAAGCACGAGTCGTCGGCAACATTCATACGGTCGAGCGTAGGATGGAGGTTAAGTTTCAAGTTTTAAGACTAGGATCTCTTGGATACTCACGGAAAGCGATGGGAAAGTTGCGATTGCTGGTCTCTATAGGTTAGGGTTAGGTTATGTTTACGTCCGCGGCGTCGGGCTGGCGGCGGATGATAGCTGAGAGCTCGCGTATCTTATCGACTGTAACGTGCAGCACATCCCGGAATCACTTCGAATACATAAATCGCGATAACGTCTCGTCTCGTCTCGTCTCGTACCGTCACACTTTCGTCCGCTCGAATGACGCCGAATTTTGATCAAAGCGCGACCGCGCAGTACATACATATGGCCGACGGCCGTCGTTCCTTCGAGCAGTGACTCTCAACCGGAGTCTTACCGAGATGTCGGAGCGTATAATAAAAAAATTGTTGTGGACCGGAAATTTTTATTTACCACATTTCTGCTCAATTTTGGCACAAGAATTCTTTACTTGTTTTAATGATACGCACAAGTTACAGTTGCAAAATTAATAATTTATATTTGTTTCTCTACCTATATCAAAAGTTCCTTAAGATATATATGCTCAAAATAATAAAATAAATAACAATTATACTAATAAAATACAAAATTCACTGTAAAAGCCTGTATTAGCATCATTATATTTGATAACTCTATATAGTTGTGCAGAAATAGATACTATTTTGTTGTTTTTCCATATTTTGTCTATTATATAAATGAAAGAAATCATTTTAAAAAAATTGTATAAATTGTATAATTTGGCTATAGGATAATGCGACGGTTTTATAGTTCGTTCACCGTGAATACCACATTTCTGTATACGTGTAATCTCTCGTTAATCAGACCGCCGGTTGCGAAAATATACACAGGAAGCAGCGAATGATGTTTCACGCGGTCGCGGTATAAATCTCGACGTACGTTTCCATTTCTACGATCTGACTATACACGTAAAAAAAGTATCGATAAAATTACCGGACGTTTGTTGATATTCCGAATCAATGAGTTTCATCATACATTTTGTTGTTGGTTTATATTGTCCATCACTGCTTGCTAAGGGGCGGAAAAAATCATAAGCTACATTCAGAGAACGACAATAAACAAGACATAACACGTCAAGAGTGCTGCCACAATAATGTATGATTTTTAAATCATAATCAACAATATTACTGTGCCTAAGCCTTAATTATTTTACAAAAAATAAAATAAATCATTATTGTTATTTTTCATATTTGCCATATTTATTTTCTGTAGTAAAAACGACTAATTCCAGATAGCACAGAGTTGAAAAAGATCTCAGAATTTTTCTAAAAATTCTGAAAAAGAATTCTTAATTTTTACACCTGAAAATGAACTCAGAATTAACGATATACGACTGAATATTAATGAATTCTTTTTGAACTCTGTATGCCATCCGGGATCCTATTTGCATATTTATCAAATAACGACCGAAAGGAATCTAAAATTTAATCTACATCACTTTCGAAAGAAGGAAATGTAATCGGCACAAAAATAAAGTATAGTTGAAAACATTATAATTATTAATCTTATTATTACAAGGAAATAATTTCAAGTTGCAAAAGAGTGGAGTTGCATGATCGATGTGGCCGTGAGAACAAATAACGATCCAGGCGGAGAGGGGACCCATATACAACCTACATACAATCACATATTTTTAGGCCAACGCAAATCTCTCAAAATTCTCAGTTATACTCTGTCACGTAAATGTAAAAATGCCAAAACGATCGATCTACTTGCAATCGTCGGACAATCTTTATCGGAGAGCTCGACGCGATCTCGAATTTCTGTGCAATTACTGGGACCGTTTGCTCACGCCGAATCAAAGCTACGATATACGTCTGCCGGAATTACTGCGCGCTAATCACTTAATGAGACACATATCAAGTCTGTCTCTCCCGTCAAACCAAGGACTGCGAGTCAACGTGAGCTTTACTATTCTTGATGATGGCAATCGCTTAGAACCGGAGGAAACGTATCGGCTGTAATTTCATATATATACTTTTTTCCCCCTCTTCTCCAGAGACTTGTCTCTAAATAAAAATTACTTTTTCGAGAGGAAAGTTACGAGAGGAAAATCTCTTTAAATAAAGACATTTTATTATAATTAATATAACCGTGAATAGAAGCATTTCTTCATTTTCTTTAAATTCTTCATTTTTTCCCCTTTAAATTCGCTTGTTCAGCACTTTAATAATGTATATTTTTATTCACGCGCACAGGCGTAACGCGTCGCCTTATTACACCGAATCTCGTAACAGATTCCGCCGATCGTCGTACCACTGCAGTAACGCAGTCGGATATAACGATCTGAGAAATTACATAAGGCAGATAAACGAAAATTACGCAACGATCGAGAGGGAACTGCAGTTAAGGGCCAGAATATTAGCACCCCTCATCGAACGCAATAGATTCGCGGGATGTCAGAATGCATTTTACACTCAGGTTTCGCACCTTTCAATACCGAAATAAAAATTTCTTTTCACAAAATGAAATCCAGACCATGTCAATTTACTATATTCTCGATACGCAGCGCGCGGCGACGTACAATTGGAATAAATTTCCTGCCGGAAATCGAGCATCATGTTCCGCGAGAGTTTCCCCATGGTTACAAGAGCGACGTGCCAATCCGCGAGAAAGAGACAATCGTCAAACTTGCACGTTATTCGGACACGAATGCTGCCTTGCTGACAGAATGAATGACGTAGACGGTTGCTCGTTAAGTCGGCAATCAGCGAGACAGAAAGAAAATTCGCCCGAGGTAATAACACGAAACGTTATTATCTTTTTAATTAATGTACATCCTATAATAATAGAAAACTTAATATAATTATGTAGAGCTGGTATGTGATGTTTTGAATATTTAGTATTTCGATGTAATATAGTGATGCAATCCTTATTGCATTTGTGGGCTTTCCAACAATTTTTTTCATCCCACAGTAATTGATTTACTAACTTGCAAAACGACGCAATTAACGATGTTTTTTTCAACAGTTTAACGACTCACCGAGAACCGCCAAGGAATGCTCCCCACAAACTTCCGCCTTCTGCGCGACAGTCCAGAAGCTGCAACAGAACAACATTAACGTACGTTAATCAGATCCGTGTAATTAGATATTTTAAGTTACTCTCACGATGGTACAGTAAGTATCACTCTTAAGTGCAGCTTCGGTGAATGAAAGAGTTACTTGAGAATGAGTCACTTCTATCTCGTAAGCTTACGCGACTTGTGCTCTACTTTGTGCTGCAGTGTTATATGATGAGTGACAAATTGTGATATTAGCGTCCGCGCCACCAAAATCAATAGCAAATTGAGAGTATAATTTCGATCCCATGTCATTTACTAATACGACGTTTCCGAATTGCGCGAAGTCGGTTTTCCGAAGGAATAAGTAAACTGCACTTGATAACATCCTCGTGCGCTGTACCATCGATGTTTCTTTCAACAAACATTACTGCGCACATAACTCGTACAAGCTGTACAACGCGTATTTCTACAATTTTTATAAATTAAAGTTAATTAATTATCCGATTTAGAAACATCGAATTTTATTGCAACTATTGCACATTGATTGATCATTGTAACGTTTGCAAATAACGCTGTATATTATTTCTGAGAAACGTCTAATTTCGCAGATAAATATATTGAGTAAACCGTAGCAACCTGCTGACAGGAAAATGTTAACAGTCCCAAAATAGTGATTGGCATGAAGTATAAAACAATCGATTCGTAAAATGTCCGGTCGTGTCTGTTATTTCAACTTTAAAATCCAGTAGGTTTTCTTTCCTTGAGTCACACCAATATTTCGACGGATAATATGCGTATTCGTACGATGTGTAGAAACAAAATATCGTTTTCTTATTTCAACCTCAAAATGCAGCAGTCTTCTCCTGGTTGGGCGCGCACCAACATTCCGACGGATAGTATGCGCATTCGTACGACGTGTAGAAAGAAAATACCGCTTTCTTTTCATGTAAAATAAATGTTTGGAAATCGTCACAATATTTGCGTTATTTTGCGACTAGATGGGAGAGTTTATGGCGCAGCGCGTAACTCTTTTATTTGTTTATTTGGAGATTCCGTCTTTAGCGATTTCCAAGTTCCGCTATAAAATGAGCCAATTGGTCCCGTATGCGCTCCGAAGTACGGAATTAAAACAGAAAAAGTGCGGATTTACTCATCCTGTCGCACAATAACTTCGGCTCGCGGTAACATCCGGTGAGATCTAACGTTATCCAGGCTTTGCAGAACCGCGCCGGAACTGCGCCGGTCCGAAACGACAACGGTTATACGATGATCAGGCAGCGTATAAGCTCGAAAGAGTCGATGGAAGCGTGCCAGGGTGTCAGTAAAATCATCAGCGACGCGACGACTTACACCCATCCGGCGGAATCGAGGCCCGTCAAGCCCGACGGCGGCGTCGCGATAAATAACGGCGATAAACGATCGATCGAATCGCAGCCGGTCGGCTGTCAGGGAAATGTCCTGCCGCGGGCCGCCGAGTCAAGCGCCGTGACTGATCAAAACGCAGCGGGACAAGGACGCGCGGGTAGCAAACGTAAACTCGACGATCTGGAAGATGAAGCGTTATTAGCGGCCAAACTTGACGTGGAAGCCGGCGGCCGGCAGGAGCGGTCGGAAACGACCGAGATGATCAAGTCGCGAGTCAAGGATACGCCAACGACGTTCGCTCCAGACGGGAGAGCTGTTAGCAATAAGGGCTGCAGGATCAGGAACAGCAGGATACCTACGGAAGGAAAACCGTTCTGGAAAAGGCACGTGTCCGCGCCGAAATACGCGAGTTTCCTGAGGATGTTTCGCAAGGAGGAGACAGAGAATCGACTCCGCGGCAATTCCTCGTCTCGGAGGAACGACGGGGAAAAATCGCAACATCGAAGGAGACTTTCTACAGAAAGGTATAATCCTGAGATAAAATGTAATGCTAACGGAAAGAAAGAAAGAGTTAAAGGAGTTCCGAGGATTGAAGAGATTACTTTTAGCCGATCTTCTTTTTGATTATATTGGATTTGGAATGTTAAGTCTTTTAAATTGAAACTGTAAGAGCATTTGCAAGAATGTTAACGTGTACAATATAATGCAATAGTACTTGCAAAGAATATGGTAATTTAATTGCTTCAGTGTTAGAAATCAAGTATTTTTATTTATAAAATCAAACAGATTTCTTTCAAATTCAAGAAGGTATTAAAAAAAAAACATATTGTCCCGATAAGACATGAGGTTTATAAAAATATATTTTTATACCTCTGATGCGTTTTTATCTTTTCTTTATTATATGTATAAAAAGTTCTTTGAAATTTTTGAAATATTTTATTATAATCTCATGAATAATTATAAGGGGCCGTTCATTAATTACGTGAGTATTATAGGGGGGGAGAGGTCAGCGAAATCTATATGTGCTCACATGGGGGAGGGAGGGGGTGTCAGAGGACACGTAAGTTTTCGCTAGAGTCCCTAACGGAAATCTGGCCAGCTTACAACACTGAGGACCACTGATGAATAGTTTCCACATAATAGATTTTCTCGTTTATTTTTGGTTTATAAGTTTCATTCCTTTAATTTAGATTTTATGTTTTGTTCGTTTTTCAACAAAAGTTGAATAAAATTATGAAATATTAATATTTTAAGATGTGAAATATATACTTTAATATTTTTTATTAAATCTCTAAAAAATATGATATAAACACATGTTTATGCGTTTTTTGTTTATATATTAAACGTATCTAAAAACTCATGTGAGATCCGGGAGGGGGAGAGGTAATCAAAATACTCACGGAGACTCACGTAGGGGGAGGTCGGGGGTCTAAATTACCGAAAATAACACTCACGTATATTAATAATGAACAGCCCCTAAGTAGTCTACTTGATTATAATAGACAGTTTTCTTGATTTAATAATAGTTTCAGCACTGAATGCGACAATCGAGCGAATTTGCGAAACGAAAGAAGAACACCAACCCCGAGAAGCACGGTGCACACGACGTACAATCCTGCAATACAATCAGCCACTGATCCTATTTTAGATTCCAGCGGTCTCACGATACAGCTCCTGAGGTATATTTATGGTCTACTTATTTACTTGTCTATATATTTGATTTTAAGAGTGCTTTCTATTCTACTTCCCTTCCAAGACTTAAAGATAGAAGAGTAATAAAGATATCACTCAAGAACTGGTAATGATGAAAAAAAATTAGATTGGATAATAAGAGTATGAGACATATTTTCAATTATATCATTTCTAACATGCGAGATTAACAATACAATGCGTTTTTAATTAACAATGCGAAATTAGAATCGAGGAAAATATAACATTTTTTAAATAAGCCAATAAATTAAAGTTATTTATTTTTTTTTAAATCGTTTTTTGGAATCTTATTTAAGATAATGATTACTTATAACAGGCTGGCCGTTTTATTATACGTCCCCACGTTGATGCCGGCGTTGAATTCGTTAATCGCGCAGCAGAATCAGCAAACGTCCGCGTCGACGTCCTCTGCTATAGAAGGATCCAACGATCTGTTAATGCAAATCTTCCGTCTGCTCAACGAGCAACAAACCATTCCCAATTTGCCGCTCGTATCGATCGGATCCGAGAGAGTTTCTACGGCTTTAACCGCGGAGACGAACGGCGAAAGTTCGCGGTCACTTTCCGAGGAGAAACAAGAGACTACCTCGATCGCTTTGGAAGAATCTGACCCTGTTTCGGAGCAAGGATCTATCTTCGCCGGTAAGAGCGGCTGGAAATCGAGCAGCCACGTAGAGCAGCAAAACGGAAAAAACAGAAAGTGGCGACTGACGTCGATGTTGACCGACTCCGTGAGATTGGACAGGAACGTCTTCACGGCGGAGGACTTCCGGAAATTCGAGGAATTTTTGAAGGCCGAGAAGAGGCGTCCGGAAGATGTCCGATTGCTGTCCACGAAAAGCAAAAACGAGATCGTCATGAAAGAGTACTTCCGGAACTGGTTGCATCGGTTGCTGCGGCAATTGAACTCGGCAAACGGTAATCTGTCCGTGCAGAACAGCGAGGAGAGAGGACGTCCCGAGGGATCTTCAAGGACCGTAGAATCTTCCTTGGAAGAGGTAGGGCGGCGCAATAGAGGCCGTTTGATAGCCGACGAATCGCCGGGCTCCTCGAGAGACGACGTTAATACCTTTTCGGAGCGCGAGGAAGAGGATTCCGACGATCAGAAGTCGTTTACTTCCGCCACGAGCACGAACTCCTCGAGATCGCTGCAGTTTAAGCAGGACGACGCGATTGGCGCGGAAAAGGAAGAGAAATTGCCGCGAAGTGAACATTCGCAGGACTGATATAATAAATTTTCGACGATAAACGAGCGCGTATAAATATCGAAACGACGGGCTAATAAAATCGTATAATCGACGTAGCTTCGCCGTCGAGACGAAACGAGCGTTTCTTTTTTCGCTTTGCATCGGAGGATCGCTCGTAAAGGAGCCTCTTGAAAGTCACTCGGAAACTGTTGGACTGTTGTCAGGATTTGATGTAAGCTCGCGGGCCATGTGGCTGGTATACGCGAGGACGCTTGCGCGAGCGGTCGAACACGTGGTGAACGCCGCGCGAAGCCGAGCTTTCCCGCGGCGCGTCGCTCACCCGAGAGCTTGCAGTCGCGCGTGTTATCGCTACCGGGACGCTTCCCCTCGATCGGCATGTGATCCGTCTCTCTTTCTATCTCTCTTTCGTATTTACTTTACCCTTGTGTGTGGGTGCTTGAAGCAACAAACGTCGAGCGATTAACGCGAGCCAGGCTTGGAAAGAATCGCTAAAACAAACGGTATAGATAACATATTCGTTCTCACATTTCTCGTCTTCTATATGTAATCACGAATAGCAGTTGATAAAAACTGCTGAGAATCGTCGAAAAACGCCGTTCTCGTCTATGCAAATAGTTCCCACTGGAGAGTTCCATTGGAAAATTTCGAGAGGAATCATCCTGTCTCGCGATGAACAGCGAAGAGAAGATAGCCTAGCTCTCCCGCGATGTGCGCGCGAACGCAGAGTCATGACTGAGAAGATCGAGATTTTCAGTTGACGCGTCTCAGATTCTCACGCCGACATCCCGATCGCACGCGAGTCGAGATGAGCAAGGACAGCAGCAGCGAGGGAAAGTCGCAGGACGCTTCCACGCCGGACGCTCCGGCGGACGCGCCGGCGAAAGATTCGAACGCGGATCTCTACGAGAATCGCGGGCAAAAGAAGCTCATCCGCGTAGTCACCGTGATGGCCTACCTGTTCTCAGTGAGTTTCGTGGGTATTCTTCTGAGCGCCTATTACATATTCCTGTGGGAGCCGCCGAATCCGAGGCTCGTGCAGCGAGAACGGCTGCGAGCGGATCCGCAGATGCAGTTCCTGATCGCGTCGCCCGCGGAGGAAACGACGGAAGACAGCAGCTTCCTCCTCCAGACCGAGGTCAAGCCGTTTCTGAGTCCCAGAATAATGAACGACAACGATGATTCCGCCGTCGATCCCCAAGTCAAAATAAATCTCGAGAAGAAACGAAGACTAAACGCGCTGTTGCTGAAGCTGTGGCACTCGCTCGTGGACGCCGGGCGCGCTCAGAAGCGAAATTCGTCGCAGGTGACAACGAATTCCGGCGAATTCAACAATTCGTTCGTGGAAAGGGAGCTTAACTCGATGTTGGATCGCGCGGAAAATACGATCTCGCGATACGGCGAGTCGCGTGGGAACACATTCGAAGAAAAGACTTACAGTGATAACGCTGATGTACCTGTAGAACTCGCGGATTCTGCAAGTACGCTGGACGTTGAAAGCACGTCTTCAACATCGAGGCTCACGACTATTCCTGAAACGAGCCAGACACGCCACGATAGAGATTATATCGCCAACGTCAATCCGATTATCGAAAAAAAGAAACAATATAACAGAAAGAAATTCGATGCCGTCAGTTCGTACCTTATTCGCGGATTAAGCTACGCGACGACAAACAGCGACATTACGATTGGCAGCGATCGACGCGTTTCCGGAGACGACGATTCTTCCAAAGTGACCCGGGGATTCCTGAGGACCGACAGGAAAGAATTGATGAAACAAAACGAGACCGACGATCGCCGGTTGATCAATAGCAATCGAGAAAATGATTCAGACGACGTGCAAACAAACGTTATACTGAAGGAATGTGTAAACTGTAATGTTAGGAACTCCAGAGAAAATTATTCCAACGAGTCCTCCTCAAACAACCAAGTCCGACAGATCGCGCGTGACGGAGTATCGATCGACCCGCCGCCGTCTCGCGACTCGGGATTCACCGACGATCCGGGATTCCAACAGACGCCGGATGACCTGACCGTCGTAAAATCACGGCCACGCATCACCACGGGAACGAGAAATTCCGAAGGTGAGAGAATTTCGCGCGCGGATCTGCCAGGCCTCTCCTTTACGGCGCGTGGGATAAACAGGGCCGCGCGAAACGTGACTGTGTGATTATACAATGAGCGTTACGTCATCCGCGGTTTTCCTTAAACCCTGCTGGAATCGTAACGTTTCTGTATGTTCACAAACCACAAAGCGGGGCAACCCCGTTTTCAGTAATCTAACACGTATTTTTAGTAGCAAATAAACGCGACCGTACGCCTCAAAATTAAATTAATAAGCGTGATATGAAATAAATGAAACCTTAAGTAATTATATAATTTGTGTTTGCTCTATTAATTTCGAAATTCGAGATGAACGATTATACGAATCGATGCTTTTGCGTCTGTCGGAACATCTGTCGCAGTTTATTTCCTCGCTAGTCTCGTCAAAGTACCTGTTGTTTGCTCGACTGAACAAACATGCAAAGTATTTAGTTATTCATTGTCTGAAATTCCCGAATTCACACGAAATTAATTGATCTTTATTGAATGCTCCTTCGAATCTATCTATTTAATATTATCTTATCTATTTAATATTATAATATTATTTAATATAATCTATTTAATATTATTTAATTTCTTACAACTAATTACATATTTTATATTTCTATTCTTAATAATTATTTATTCAGCTGTGTTTTTTTAGCTATTCACCGCGTTGTAATATAATATATATAGAAGAATATATTATATACATAAAACATTAAAAGAAATTTAATTTAAATGTTTAAAGATAAATATTTACATTTCTTTTCCATGGCAAGTAAATGATATTATATTTATTTCATTGAAAAGTAGAAATTTTAATAAGACAAGTATACGTCCAATTGAAAAGTAATTTTCTTTCTTAACTAGAAAAAGAAAGGATTCTTAACAAACACAGACGGAGAGCAATGATTAAAGCCTTAGAAATAAATCGATGGATCGGTATACGATGATTATCCGCGTTGTCACTGAGTAATAAGTGAAACAGGGTCAGCTCAATATCTATTATATGGCTTCTGCGACGTTACATCACATTCCAGATCCGATAACTTCTGAATATATTATAATTATCAAATGGCTACACTGTTAAATCTATAGTGTCAGACTGAACCTTATTTAAGTCGTCACTGCTCCTACTTAATAAACAGTTATTTTTAAATAAAACAATGGAATTTAACCTAAATTTGGGTTAAATTTGAACTGTTTTAAATTATTTAACTCCATTGTTTTAATAGAAAAGAACTATTTATTAAATAAGAGCAGTGGCGACTTAAATAAGGTTCAGTTTGACACTATAGATTTAACAGTGTACACTTGCGACAAGTAAACCATGAATTTCTTCTTATGAAGAAACTAAAACAAAAATTCAATTTCGCGAATAATTGATCAAATCGAAATCATATGTAAATTCTAATTGTAAGTGTTGGTTATAAGGATTGAACTAATCCTTATTTGAAAAAAATTATATATATATATATATATATATATATATATATATATATATAAAATAAGAAACTATCATGATGAGTCATAGATAAAAATTTATAATGTAAACTTTTTTAATAAGTAATTTTAGACTAGAAATTAAAAAAAATGTCTTATTAAAATCTTTGAAGTATAAACAGACTTAAAGATCTCAGTTTTGTACAAATATTGGGTATTTCGAAGACTCAAAGGATCTCTCTTTTCGCGATATTTAACGGAGTAAAATATTTCTTTTGGTATTTGTGTCAGAGACACTTTATATAATTTAACGATCAAATTTTCCAGCCGCTTTCAAGGTTTCCGCCTGTTTTCTTGGATATACGAAACTTATACCAAGAAATCGAATAGTGCACCTTGTTTGCCGAAGAAAAGATCGAGGGGCTGCGTTGTGACGTTCTATTAAAACAAAGGCGCGCCACCTTTTATAGGATAAGTAAAGCGACAAAGTTGCGTCGATCCATTCTCGAAACGAAATTGCTTAGTAGTCCAGACAGCCCGCCCGTCTTTATTCAACTCTCGTTACATTTAATCCCATTTCGAGAGACTTGTGTGCTATGTCTTGCCGATAAAATATTCCACTCGTCTCTTCCCTAATTTTTATCCGTGTATATATATTTTCGGAACAGTTCTTCTAATCAGTAAACGTTCAGAAAGACGATTCTTTTACAATGTAAATTTCGCTAATTTTACATAAACTTTCTACGATGAAAAAAATATGCCTACAATGCATCTTTTTAACTTTTATCTAAAGTTTTAATTATACTTGTAGATCGATCGAGCATTTAGAAAAAAATATGCAAATAGACGTAGGAGAATAATGTAAAAGAATTTAATTTACAAAAAGTCTAATATCTTTTTTTTTTCAAATTAAATCCATTTATTCATATATTATTATTCCATGTTATGCAGAACAATGCAATTCCCTTTTGTGTCTTTTACGTCAATCAATATTTTTATATTTCTATTTTCTTTAGTTACGTTTCTTGAAATTTGTGGAATAATCTTAAAGATCAAACGCCACTAAGCAAAGAGCTTTCAAATAATACACACTCGTTCAAATTGTATAAAACATAAATAACTCGCGAGAATACAAATCTTGAAAGAGCGAACTTCCGAAGAGGGAAAACGGCAAGAAAGATTCGTAGTTTTCTTATGCATAGAAAATAAATTAGATATCAAAAGAAATCGAGGATTCGCAGTTTTCTTATGTATAGGAAATAAATTTTATATCAAAAGGAATCTCGATTCTTTTTATATATATTTTATTTACTATACATAAGAAAACTGCAAATCCTTCTTGCGGTTTCCCGTTTCAGGAGAAACGCGGAAAACATTTATCGAAGATATGTTATAGGAATATATACATCTATTTTTTATTTTTCGAAAAATTGAAAATTATTGACCAAATCTATCACGTGTGACAATTCAATACATCGCTGTCATTTTAAAAAGAGAAACTATAAAAAGAGATACGATTAAATGGAGCAGATCTTCGCAGGTGTAACGGCCTAGCTCGTGTATCTTCGTAAGTTTTATCAGCCCCCGGCTGGCGCGTGAGAAGCGAAAAGCTCTCGACTGGTCAAGGTCCCGGAGCTTGCGCACTGGTGCGCTGCTTCCCCGTGCATCCATACACCGAGATGGGTGTGCTTTTTTTCGTACTGAGCGACGATACGGGGCGAGATACGGCCATCCGCGAAAGAGAGAGAGCCGGCACACAGAAATAGCCAGCGGTAAACGCGCGTGTTTAGTTCCGTGGTGAAGACGGAAGAGCCGAAAGCTCTCGTGGCCTATCGATCCCGAAACGCCGTGAGTCCGAGCCTCCTCCGCGCAATCCGGAGCTTGCGAGTGGAAAAGCGTCTCTCGGCGAGGCACGCCCTGTCGCGTCTACTCACACTCGCGATGTGATTGAACGGTATATTATTCGAACAAAGGCGATCTTTGTAACGGAATCTGCGAAAGCGCAAGGGCGCGCGAGCCGAGCGTCCCGGGAGCATGTGATGCTGCTGGAAATAAACGCGCGTCGTTTGCGGATGCGTCGTTTAACGTCGAGGTACGCCCACTTGGAAATATGCCGCGAAAAGGAGCCACTAAATTCGAGAAAGTAATTAAGCTTGCGTCGGCTGTATGCGATTATATACGCGTGTTGATATATTCACTAAAGAATATTCAAGTCAAATAATGCAATTCTTAAGAATTCATTTCTAAGTTAGGATTAAAATTTATTCACCGATCTATTTCTTGCGAAAATAAATTCATTCAATAGACAATTACGACTTGGTTACAAATTAACAACATTTAGAAACGCTGTACGTTTTCGAGTTTCGACTGCAATTTTTCCCGGAAAAAAAATATTTGCGGCTCACTGCGCAAGCTAAACTATTCCAACGCTTCCTCATCACGACGTCACGAATGTGGGTCGTTTGCTTTTCAGCACTTGGAAAAAGCCTGTGTACGTTGCACGACTTCCCCTCGAGCTTCTCGTGTGGGAGGTCCCTCCGCGGGATGACGTGCGTCTCATCGGTTGAGACGTTAATTTAATTTTCGCGGAAATCGAGGATGCAATTACCACGAAAAATGAGCGCTCACAACGTGATGGCGAGCATCGGTCGCACCCTGGGTAATCGCGAGAGCAAACCGGCGGCACCCAACGAGGTCCGTTTCGCTGGAGACGAGCGGAAAGATAAGCTCTACGAGCCGAAGCACAAGCAGAAGGTGATACGCGTACTGACGGTGGTCGCGTACGTCATATTTGTCAGTATGGCTGCTATACTGCTCTCCTTGTATTACACCTTCGTTTGGAACCCTAAGGATCAGGCAATTAGGAGGGTGAAAACAACCGACAAGCCGGAGTGCGAGAAGCTCTCGTCTCCTTCCCTCGACTCCCTCACGATTCCGCCGATATCCAATGGTAAAGGCGTTGACAAGTTAAACCGCTGCAATGCGAACCTTCATTGAGAATTCCACGCTAATGATTAAGAAATCATAGAGAATTATATTTCTAATATTGAGGCACATTTCGATTGCAGAAGACACTTTTGCAATCGAAAATATATTCCGAAAGCTCTGAGATTTTATACAACAGAAATATTAAATTTTGAAAACTCTCTGCGCTATATGAATAAATTTCATGTGTGAAAGTATAAATGTCTCGTAAATTTAATCTTATGAAATAACATTATTAAATAAAGAAATATTTCGTACTATTCAAACTCAAAAAAATTACGCTATAATAATAACGAGATAAAGAAATTGTCTTGCAAAAACATCAGGTTTTATAAGACATTTGGAATAATTAAATTGAGCATAAAATTCATTTTTGCAATTTGCTACAAATTATGAAAATTTTGCTGCAATTATTTTTATTTAACAATATCCTTTTTTCACAGAGACGCAGATCGAAAGGATGACCGCGAGGTCTACGACGACAGATAATAAACAGCTGGAACAAATTGATTTATCGACCACTCAAAAACGTATTCCGGAAGTCTTCACGGAAATTGCGGACGTCGAGGAAACGTCTGTAGAGCCTACGTCAATATCGACAGCGCGGGATTATCATAATATCACTAGCATTACGAGCGAAGACGACGAGAGCGTTACATAAGTAAATATCAGACTTTTCACACCTCGTGTTGAAAGTAATAAGGTGCAAGGAAACCAAGCTAATAAATAAATAATAAAAGTAATCGCTAATAGAGTATCAAAACCTATTAGTACGTATAGGGAAGCAATGCTTTCAGTTCTTTATGGACAGAAAACGTTAGAAGTTGTATTGACCTGAATTTGCCAAACGAGAAACCTTATTAGAGATTAGAACTACTCTTCGAACAGATAAACACTAGGAACATTAGAATAATTTAAGTATCTAATTGTCTATAAAATTACGTGGACGACATTCGCGAAGATACGAGAGAAGAAATTAACAATAATAAATAATAGAATTATAGATATATATTCCAATCGCAGTTGGATTTTTCATCTCTTTTATAAATTAAATGAAACAAATTTTATATCTTCATTCTGTGTAATAAGACGATTAAATTACAAATGTAATTTTACGTGAAGGATCATTTGTTCAGATTCTTTCCACAAAGTTCCTTAGTATTATATTGACATAGGAAGATACTCGAGAATATTTTTGTAATTACTAGTATTGGAAATAGAAGTATGCGCAGTAACTATAATAGTAGAGATTCATTGTAATTCTAACGAGTTCATATTACATTATCGCGATTAAAAAATTCAGCCGACAGATATTTTATGTAAGTTGTTTTATATGATTAAAATAAAGGTCCCCTATATTAAAGTAATTATCTTACATTTTATTTACAAAATAATTACTTTTTTCATTTACAATAATAACGCAGTATAAAATTACGTTGCAATAATTAATTTACTTATAATTTTATCCCTTCGTATCATACACGAATGTAGGAAAAGAATTCGAGTCTCAGCATCTAATCGTGTGTACTTTAGATTCCGATTCTATCATCGCGACGGCTTTATTCTCACCTACTATTTGAGCGAGCGTTATGGCGTCGAATTTATTGTAAATGACGGTCACCGACATATTGAGCTCCGTGCCGGAACGTGGATTCTGATACAGATTGTCCATCAGATTACACATTTCGCTGTAGAAGTGCGGATAAGTGGGCAGCTGGTAGAATATAAGGTGGCGGATACCCTTTATCCTCGTCCTGCGCCAGAAGTGCCAGCGTTCCGTGTAGAGGAGGAAATGCGCGTCGCTGTGAAAGAACATGTCCCTCGCGCGGGCGACCTTCCGGTCCTCGGTGTACTCGCTGATCATCGCGAAGCTCATCTTCTCCTTCATCATGCGATTCCGCAGGTACACGAAGTCGAAGTAGCACGGCACGTAGATCAACGTGTGATTGTATATCGGGTCCGAGTATCGCGGTAATATCTCCTTCAGGAAGAAATCCAGCCGGCTGTCGATTGCCTGACAAAGATCGGAGGCCTCAAATTTGTAAAACACCTGTGGAACTTTGATGGTCACATTGCGAATCGCGGCCGGCTCGTTAGAATTCAGAGAATTGTCTTTCGCCACTTTCGCCTGGCCGGCGTAGTTGAAGCACTTCCTGAGCAGCAGCGTGTTTATGTACGGTGTTTCGATGCTGGAGAAAATCAACGTTTGCCTGTAATACTTGGTCCAGCCGTTCACGCACCAGCTTCTGAGACGCGAGTAATCGATATCGTGGGATTTCTTGGGCTGCAGATGCATGTAATCCAACACTTGATACAGATGATCCCAGTTCTGCATGAGAACCACGTCGATCTGGTCCATGATGAGCAGCTCTACGGACGACAGAAAATCGTAGTCCCTCACCGCCTCGCCCTCTGCGCCTACCACTCTCCTGAGGCCCAACGGCGAGCCGATTATAATATCGGAAGAATAGAAATTTGTATATAATTTGAGCGTCTTCTTGGTAAGCGCCATGCCTATCTTGAACTTGTCGTTGATATTTCCCTGCATGGTCAGTTTGTAATCTTCCGGTTTAGGATTCCTCTTGGGCATCGCTAGCTCGTTTCCCGTGAAATCCTCCATGAATCGCAGCTTGTTGATAACAGAGCCGCCTTTGTCCTCCCCGAATAAAATCGAGATGAACATCTCGACTATCTTCAGGCAAGAGTGCTTGAATGGCACTATTATGAGTACCTTGGGTCTCACTAAACCCTGATCCTTGTACTCGTCCGGTACCTCTCCCATGCCGCTGCGATTGGACTTCCCTAACTTTGCACTATGGTGCAATATTTTCGTTCGGGTCTTCAGCACGTGATTGATTGCGTGCAGGCAATAAACGAATCGTATCTCGTCAGCGTTGGCAAACGTTCTTCCAGGATAATGCAAATCTTGATAATTATTTATCACCGAAAATAGTTCCTTTTGAAGGGCAGTCAAAGGTGCAGAATCTTTATCTACAGTATCTTTTATGTTATTATAATTAGCTTTAATCAAGTTATTCTGAATCTGCGACTTCACATGCAATTTGTTCCAGTCGACGTTCTCAATCAAAGTTGGAACCTTACCGTAATTCGTATACTGTTTCTCTTCATCGTCCAGAAGCTTTTTGACTCTCACTGCCTTCTCGTTCGAATCGACAGCTGGTTTTGGAATCTGGCATATCAGATTTCCTAGCGTGGGCCATGATAACGTCGTGGTCTCGGTAATCGGTGGCGTTGCAGAAACCGCTTTATACAGTTCATCGTCCATATCGTTGCGCAAATGCAGAGAGAATGGATCTCTCAAATGACCGATGTCCTCCTGGGCAGTCTCAGCATCTTCATAGTCATCCTCCCTCGTGCTAATCGTAATCTCTTTATTTTGATCGGAAGATTCGTCATCAGCTTCAGATTCCTCGCTCTTTTCCTCCTCAATGTTTCTCTTTTCCATTCTCTTCATTTCCTTCTTCTTCCTCTTCCCTTCCTTGTCTATTTTATTCTTATTCTGTGCATCAGAATCTTCGTTTTCACTTTCCGAACTTGTCACAATTGGCTTCCTCAGTTTCTCCACTAAATTTTTGTGTTTATAGCCAGATAACTTGGACAGATAAAGCAGCCAAGGATCGACTTCCTCCTCTTCAGAACTGTCGGACTCCACGAGTCGCTGACGCGTTTTCTCCTCCTCCACTATTCGCCTGCGAGCTTCAATTTCCTCATTCTTTGCATCACGCTCCTTAACATAAGAGGCTTTCCTTAAGTCGAATTTTTCCTTCTTCGGCTTTGATCGTTTTTGTGCGTTGCGTTCGTCGAATTTCCTCTTTTTGCCACGGAATCGCTTTCCCATCGGAGCCATCGGGACGGTGTTATCACTCTGATCTACACAAGGCTATTGCTAGTGAAATAATAGAGAAAGAAAAAAAGGTAAATACTTGTACGATCAAGATTAATTTGAAGGTTATCGGCTTGATAATACTTGCATCTTATCTTTTTCGTTGTAAACATTTTAATAAATATACCGTTGATCTACTTTAGCTAACATGTGATAAAGAATGACACAATAACCAATTTATAACCTAAATAATCTAATGTAAATTTTCCCATCAGTTATTACTAAAGGATAACAAGTTGTAGCATATCAATTTAAATAAATCAAATTTTTAATAAACCCACCTTTAAAAATGCTCGCTCAAATAGCCAATTATTTCATACACATACTTCTCTTTCCATATACATAATAATCTCACGTGTACATAACCTCATCTCCACATGCAGGACTCACACGCATAGTAACACAAGCATGTCGCCAGTCGCACCAACACTTACGTAGCCATTTATTCCGAGAGGAACGCACGCCATTCTGACGATTCGATGCGCCGATTACGAAATTGAAGACGCGAGATGAATTTTTGTCTTATTCTTGTAAATAAAAACATAAAGCAATTTCTTTACAGAAATTTCGAGCAGGGTTAATTCCGGATTTTTCTTATCTCATCTTATTTAGAACAGAATTTGTTTAAATTATTATACACCGTAAAAATTTAATCATTCGGGAATGATTGATATACGGTTAGGAAACAAATTATTCATCCGTATCGGATTAATTTATATCATTATCGTAAATTCGAGTAAGAAGACGTCAATAATCACAAGCAAATTCGATTAATTGACGCAGCTTTCGTCGCTGGAAAGAAACCAAAAGACTTACCATCGAAGCAGCGTTCGGTTCACCGCCAAGAATTAGGGGTCCGCGCGTCTTTCTGGAACGAGTCCCGCGAAGCATCGCACGAAAACGGCATTCCTCAGGTCGCTCGACGTAATTAACTACTATTGGCACTTGCGCTTCAACTCCAACACGAACGCGGACGCGGAGCCGAGTAAGCGCGATTCCGTCGACACAATTCACAATCCAGAATCGCGGACGAACGAGACTCAAACGACGATACGCGCGCGACATTCGCGGGACTGATCCGTCGAGCGAGGAGAAACCGGAAAAGATTCCTGACTCGATTTCCAGATGGCGCAATGGCGGCGAAATCACGTTTAACGCCGACAGTTCAAATCGTATCGCGCGACGCGACGTTTAGCCTCAAATTGGAAAATTCCGCTTTCGATGACCGTACGAAAGAAAACGGAAGAATTAGAATTGAACACTGAACGAAAAAGAAAATTATTTTTCGCGAGTCTGAACGACTGATATTATAAAAAATCAAGAAGATTGATTACAATTTTTTTGGATATTTTTTCTCTGCACTTGCATGTAAATGTCGAATATACAAAAGGTGTCTCCTTTAACAAATCTCAAGTTTTTAATATTAGATCGTTAATGATTATATTTTTGATTCGCTCTTTGCGAGAATTAAAATAAATAGTTACGAAAAATAGATAAAAGTACAAAAACTGTAAAGACGATTGATCTGATTTTGGAAGCTATGTAGAATTAAATATCTGAGTATACAAATTACGCCGAATCATGGAAAGAAATACTTTTTAATTCATGTTAACGAAATAAAAATTGGTTTCGTTAAGGGCGATTAAAATTAATTAATTAATTGCTCAGCTAACTAAACCTTCTTCGACCGGTTGAGATTATAACCATTAAGTAGGACGCGCGCAATCTAGAAAGAGACGGGAGGTCAGCTAAATTGAAGTCAATCGGCGCGTTGGCGAAACCCGCACTTGACTTCATACAGCGTCACGTAGCTGCGTCTAACAATTATCTACCTCATAATTATATACCTCCGGCGAATTCAATTCCGCTCGAATCTCACGGGCGAATTCATCGTCACGAGATGAGAAGCTTGGCGGGTTTTCCGACAGGAGAGGGTAAGAGAAACAAAGAGAGAAAGAGGGAGAGAGAGAGAGAGGAAGAGAACGAAAACTTACTTCCATTCGAAAGCGGAATTTATTCGCGGAAAACGCGCGAAATCTTTTGGCATCGCCGCCGTTCATCACGCCGTTGGTCGACGACGAGCGACAACATCGCTCGTGCTCGGGTAGGAAAGGGAGCAGCGCGGGAGGGCAGCAGAGGAAAAGAGCGGGCGAAATTAATTGACCCTTCGTTCGCCCGCTTGTTTACAAAATATCCGGTCCCTAACAGAGCTCGCGCGCGAGCCGCGGAGTCGAGGCGGGTGACTGCCAACTTCAGCGCTGCCGCGCATCGCGACGATATTGCACGCATCGCACACCGCGGCCCTCAGTGCCGTGTGAAGGGAGCGCGGTGTATCCCGGCGATGCGCGCGATCGCATAAAATGCGTGAAACGCTCTCGATGTTACGACAGTTCGATAGACCGTGGCTTCTATAAATTCTGAAAAACGAATATACGCTAAGTTAACTTCAAAGTTTCATACAGTCTTTTTTTTTTTTCCAAACGAAAGTTTTATCTCGAATCTCGCAAGCGCGCGTCGATCTTGCGCGGGGCGCCGGCGAATCTCGGCTTGACCCTGGCAGCGCGGAGCTGCCGCCACCACCGTTCGGTGAGCGCACTACACTGCACTACACACGAGCAGCAGTTTCGTACCGTACGTACGGTTTCGTAGTAGTATTTCGGGCGCTCTTAGCTGCGTTCGTGCCGTCGTGCGAGACGGAGAGGAACGAAGAGAGAGAGAGAGAGTGAGAAAGGAAGAGTGCTCAAGCAGGCGGCCGGCGAAGAGACGTTTACGGTCACGGGTTCACGGTGATCCTCCGCACGGTTTCCCGGCGTGGCTCTGCCAATCGTGGCCGACGGCAGCCGGCCCCGCCGGCGGAGCTCGGTTCGCGCGCGTCAAGTCGCCCGCGGACGGGCGCACGGGCGGCGAGGCGGGGAGCCACACGCGAGGAGCGACGGCGAGGGAGTCGGGGACGGTGGCGATCGTACGACGGCGACGCACGCACCACCACGCACGGACGGTCGGTCGGCCGGACGTTCTGTCAAACGGTCGCGCGACGACGGTCGGTGGTCGACGACGCGTCCACGACCGTGGTGTGACGGCGGCCAAGAAACGAGGGCGGCCTACGAGCGATATCTCCCTACGTGTCTGATGAGCTCCACTGACGTCGCGCCGCTGCTGCTGCTGCTGGTGGTAAGATGGCTGTGCAGCTGGACGGAGGAGGGAAGGAGGACCTGAAAACACAATTCGTCACGCGGGAGGGCACCTACAAGCTGATGACCCTGTCGGAGTACTCGAGACCGAACCGAGTCGGCTACACCAGCAGCCAGGGCAGCGCGTCCGTCCGGGTGTCCTTCGTCACGCTGCCGGACCCAGCGGACCCCACGGGCGCGCAGGGCCTCGGCGACCGAATGTGCTTCAACTTCGGCAAGGAGCTCTACGTCTACGTCTATCGCGGCGTCAAGAAGGTGAGGCGCGACCGCGCTCCGAGCGCGACGGCCGTGACGACGGCGACGCGTCCGCGGGAATTACCCGATCCGCGAGCCGTCGTCGCGACCTAACCTCGCAAACTCCGTCGGGACCTCCATCTTTGCGGTTGAAACTTGCGGTTTCGCCGTGCCTGCGTTCTCTTCTCCTCGCGACGACGAGCGCGACGTCGAGAGCTTCCTCTGGGGTCGACTCGTGTCGAATCGTCGCTGGTTTTCTTTCTTCCCCCCCCCCTCTTTTTTTTTCCTCGTGAAGAAGCGATCTGACGGCGAACATTCGCGCTGACGTTTCTCGGAAGAAGCATGTCGAATAATCGCATAAATAGTATCGCAGATAATATTACTATCTAAATTCTTAGTATTCACAGATTGAATCATTGATTTATGTATCAGAAGTAAAAAAAAAAAAAAAACCAACGGAATTAATTTCTTAAGATTTCTCTGAAGAATCATAAACTCTCACAAACATCTGAAATCTTTTCTAAGAAGGTTTCAAAATAAAGAAATGATTTAAGTAACTCATCGCATGCATAACTTTTTCGAGTATTTTGTTCGCACAGTTTGTTTCGTCGCTAGAAAGTAAATTATTTGTTGACCGAAAGGATTTGATTGAAGAAACCTGTCTTGACGAGCTGTTAAAATGTTTCAGGCTGTAGACTTGAACAAACCGGTGGACAAAAAGCTATATAAGGGAACTAATCCGACCTGCCACAATTTTAATCAAACAACAGCGACAGCCGATAGCGCTCCACTGCTGGTGGGATTTTCCACGGGGCAGATACAGCTGATCGATCCGATAAAGAAGGACAGCTCTCAACTCAGCAAATTGTATAATGAAGACGTACGTAGAAGCAAAAATCTGACATAAAAAATCTCTATCCGCAAGTATTCTAGCATTGCTAGCTTGAGAACCCCGAGGAGGACTTCTCTTCATTACGTCTCCGCTTGGAGAGAATGACTTCTGGCTGTATTATCTGCGCGAGCTAGCTTACGTGGAGATAAATAATCTCATAGTGCAAACAGTATTCTCTATGCAGCTAGTATCGCTGTAGTTTTCTGGCAATGTGTGTACAATAGCTGTCAACACTTATCCGCTCTTGATGATATGTCCGTGTTATCTTATTGAAACATGATAAACTGGAAAATAAATGCTGGATGCCTCGTGCCGTCCGCCGCATCCTGCGATGACGGTGCTTAATATTTAGCAGCACATTATCCGGGCTGTTCTATTGTCGGTGGTCCCGCGCACTAATGCAATTATATCTCAATCAAATAATTAAGCTCAACAAGCAACATTACATAACTTTTCGCTGTCTTCTTGCGGCAGGCAATTCCCCTTGCGGGGACAATTGTGTCGCCTATTTTAAATACATTTCGACCTCAATGAATGTCTAATGATTCATTATTGTTGCATACCATCGTGTTTAAGACACATGCATTCTTAATACTGTCCAGTTTATTTCAGTTATTTTCAAACTACAATCAGTGTTATTTTCCTTTTATCTTTGTTCATCAATCGTAACACTGAGATTACAGAACAAAAATTTATTTCTTCAGCTTTGTATCGCCAGAGATAGAGAGAAGCGCTATTTATTTTAAGCGAATTATTTTTATATCGAACTTTTTTTTTATAAATGGATAATTTCGCGTGCAAGATAAGATTAATAAATTAAAAAAAATTTCTCACGGCGCTATTAATTTTGCTTCATTTTTGACGTGGGAATATGTTTTTAATAAGGAACATTCACATTTCAGAGGCTGATCGACAAGAGCAAGGTGACATGTATAAAGTGGGTTCCCGGCTCGAACAACCTGTTTCTGGTCTCTCATAGCTCCGGTCAGCTGTATCTCTATAACGAAGAGCTGCTCTGCGGCACCACCGCGCCGCACTATCAGTCATTCAAGTCGGGTGACGGATACGCCATATATACCTGCAAAACTAAATCCACCAGGAACCCGCTGTATCGGTGGGTGATCGGCGCGGAGGGGTGTTGTATAAATGAGTTCGCCTTTAGTCCGTGCGGCACGAACTTGGCCGTGGTGTCGCAGGATGGATTCCTGCGTGTTTTTCAATACAACACCATGGAGCTGGTCGGCTCGGCGAGGAGCTACTTCGGTGGCTTTTTGTGCGTGTGCTGGTCGCCGGACGGACGTTACGTGGTGGTGGGTGGCGAGGACGATCTGGTGACCATTTGGAGCTTCCACGAGAAGCGGGTCGTGGCGCGGGGGCAGGGCCATCACAGTTGGGTGAGCGTGGTCGCCTTCGATCCGTACACGACGTCCTACGGCGATCACGATCCCGACTTCAGCGGTTCGGACGACGAGACGACGATGCCGCACAACAATCACAATCACTTCCACGAGAAGTCGCACCGTCTGTCCACGACCTCGCAGAGCGGCGGCGTTCACTCGAATCGCAACTCCTGCGGCTCCGAGTTGAGAATGTCCGGTGGCACGTGCTACAGGTTAGGCAGTGTATCGCAGGACACCCAGCTGTGCCTGTGGGACATCACGGAGGACGTGCTGAGGCAACCGGTGTGCGCCAAGCAGAGGCCATCTGCGGCGTGCAGCACCAGCGGCGGCACCCTCTCGTCCTCGGGCACGTTCAACAGTGGCAACGGGGCGGCGACAACGGTGAATCACCATTCAAACTCGAATGCTAAACATAATAACTCGAATAATGTAAACTTCAAGGAGAACGCGAGTGGTAATAACGAGACTAGTAACAATAGCACTAGCACGAACGCCGCGGTGGCGACTGTGAATTCGCTGACGCAGAGGCTAGCGGGTCTTGGCTTCGGCGAGCGTAAGGGTGATAATCACAAGAGAAACTTTAGCCTCACTATGCGTGGCGGCGGGACCGGTGCGACGGCGACGACGACGGCCAACAACAGCACGACGACGGTCGTGCAGAACAATGGTGGCGACAAGACGAGCACCGGTAACTCGACGAGTACGACGAGTAGTAGTCTGAACAACAGTGTCGGTGGGAGTTTAGTAGGTGGGACGGGAAGTAAAAAGGTTAGTTCCGTGATGGACGATCCCATGAGGTTGATAGGGACCGCCTGGTGTCCCAGGTTCGACGAGTGCCCGGTCCTCGAGCCGCTGGTGTGCAAGAAGCTGGCGCACGAGAGACTGACTGAATTAGTGTTTAGGGAAGATTGCTTCGTGACGGCGTGTCAGGATGGATACGTGTACACGTGGGCGAGGCCCGGCCACATGGTAGGTCCTCTCACGATAAGCAGCACCCTGCACAGGCCATCACACCATCATAGCAACAACCCCTACACTAGTAATATCAATTCCATGCGATGTAACGACCTCTGATGTAACCCGTTATTTCCAAATCGTTATTTAGCGAGTCCATTGAGTAGAGTCTGTTGGTCGGAAGTTCCGAGAATTCTGTACATATATACGTAGAGTTATAGAATCTAAAAACGATGTTATCAAAAAAAAAGTGGCACAGGAAAATCTTGTAATGTTTTCGGATAGTCTTCGTCTTCCTTCCCGCTTGCCGTGGTGACGTCTTGAAGACAAATGATTGTTCTGGTTTGCGGAAGTATTAGAACAACATTGACGAATTCGGTATTACCTTGCCGGGTGTTTGATATGACGATCGCGTTGCTGTCATTTAAGTTTTACATATTACAATCAGTATATTTAATCTTAGAGAGAGAGAAAGAGAGAGAGTATCCCTATTCAAGTCTACGACCTTAGGGTGTATAATTGCGTTTGAATTCTATTAGTATTGGGAGGTGCCATTCGTAGAGAAAGCATTGTGAGGATTTTTTTTTAGTATTTTTCTCTAAGTTTATATTGTGTATATAATTACAGAAGAACATGGACGGACGATACTATGAGTGAACGAGTTTGTAGTTTAAAATGTATCTATTATCGGGCCCCTTGGACTTCACAGGGCGTCTTTTTTTTAATAGATATTTTTTAATCTTTTTTTTGTTGAATGTTTTAAAATCTTTGTACGTATAATGATGAACACCTTTCGATGAATCTTGCCTTTTACTCGGGACATTCCACTAGATCAGATAAATTCGCAATGTTTTTGAATACAGATCTATTACCTGAAATGAGTGCATGAAGATAGACATTTCAAATTAAGTAGTGTAGAGCGCGCACATACATTATGGTATTTGTTTTTTTTCGGATGCATTAATATATAGTTTTGATTAATGTTATTCTTTTGCGAGGAACGGAGGAGCTTTAATTTATATCTTCTATTTAGATGTTATCAATTCCATAATACCTGATTAGTGCATGCGCTGCAAATGAAAGAAAAAAATAAAACCACTCACGGTATGTGCTTAAAGTTCATTCATAGTATAGGCTGTCGTTGATATCTATGCCTAATGATAATGTCTGGTCAAGATATATTCTCGCGATGAATTATTGCAGAATTACGCGAGCTATGTAGGATAGAGATCGAATATTGATATATTTATGTTTTTTTTTTGGTTTGCATCCTCGAGAGCAATGTTGTTTGAGCCCCATGAGGTCTCGTGACAGGGCAGGCCCCTTTATCGAAGAACAAAAAACCTCTTCTTTCTATCTTCTGTAAAGTGTTATTTAGCTTTAGCCGACCATTGATAGAGAAGTTCAACGGAAGAGAAAAAAGAATAGAATTATCTAGCCAAAAAAAAAAACTCTGTCGTCACTCACAGACTTACGAGATGCGAGAACGTTTAATCCTTTGTTGAAAACGATGAATTTTGCCTTGTTGTACAATAAAGCGAAAATTTGAATGAACAATCGCTGCTTGCTTCCCGCTTGTTGAAATTTTGTTGAATCAAGTGCAATGCAGAAGCTCCAGGGAGAAAAAAAAACCCGGCCGGGGATAAGTCTTTTGTGCGACACACGTACATATGCATACGCAATACATACATATGTATGGTGACACATGTAAGACGATGTTTATTTACAGTCTGCTAAAAACATCGCATGTCTTTTTTCTGTTTTTTTTTCTTTTTTAACATTATGTATACAGTAATAGGTCCCGACATTAGGACTCGAATAGTGTTTTCCTGGGCGTTTTGCATAGAGCATTTGTATCACGAGAATATCCCACACTCTCACCTTTTCATTTAACGGCCTTGACCAAAAGTATCGGGCGGGGGGGAAGGGGGCAGCCTCATTAAATTGCGATCAGTTAAGCCTAACCGGTGTTTTGCGAATTGGAATTACAAATAACCGTAACGCAATTACTTTTACTCGAGTGTTTGAAAAACGTTCTAATCGCTGCCGTTGATTTACTATATCATGCTGAACGGAATGCCGGATGTAATATATCAACAATTTAATGAACGCGAGTCTTTCACGCTTTTGGCCAACGCTGCAAATATGTATACCTAACTAATTGCGCGAGTAGTTTCGCGGTTGAAGCTCATTATTCAACGTGCGTTGCTTCTTTTTTTTATAGCGCGATACTTATAATTTTTTTTTCTCAATAGCGCGTCTCTTATAATTTTTAATCGGACGATATATGCTTGCGCTTATTTCTCAAGGCCGATGAAGCATTAATTCCTTTTTCTCACTTTTGATTGATCGGAAAGATTAATGTTCTGTACCACGCTTTGGCTGATGCAAGAGAATATCGTGGATGAGACTTCCCTGAGTTATCGCATGGTACGTATGACTTATCATTTTCCGTTCTATTTTGCTTTATTTACCGCTTGATCGGACTTGTCATGGAAGTAGAAATAGTGTTACACGCTCGAAATCATTTTACACACCGTTTCTTGCCGAGATGTACGCTCTCGGCGGCGCTTCTGAATTTTATATATACCACGAATTGCACTATATATCTCTCTGCTCTCACGCACTCTCTTTCTCTTGCCAGATTCGCATTATTCCCGAAAAGTTTTCGAAAAGACGGAAAAGAGAATTATACGTGTAATACGGACCATTCAGATTTTTCACAAGCTACAGTTTAATTTCATTTGAATGACGATATGAATTTCTGATCTTAATGAAAAAAAAAAAAGACAAATTATTTATCTCAGTCAGAATATAAATTTCTAAATCAGAAGTTGAATTATTGAGATTCTTTCACCTATCATGAATTATCCGCCGAAAAGAATCATCTCGCTCGAGATGATAAAAGATGCGCAAACTTCTTGGGAATAGCGCGTGTTTCTGTTAGATGACTTAGACGAGTCAGAATCGCGTTACTCGTGTCGCCGTGTATCAACGATGTGGTTCGCGTTGTCTCTAATTTCAGCCAGGGATCAGTCAGGTCGGCGGCACCGCTCTCCACGTGGTCAGCCCGGTGGAAGGCGGCGGTACCATAGTATAGCCGGAGCCGGACACCGACGCCGATCCGCCACGGGGTCACCAGGGACCGCAGGGATCGTCGCGGGCGTCCGAGGCGCAGCTCCAGCAGGCGTACGCACGCCGACGTCACCTATACTACGTCTGGCCGAGCGAGAGCTACTCCGGTACGGTTTGAGCGAGCAGCGCGGGCTCGAATTCGTCGTCGTCATCGTCGAAGAAGCGGACGAATTGAAATGGAAATCCGTGGGGGATTGGGTCCGCCGCCGCGAGATTGGACGTTTAATCTCGGATATCGGACCTCAAAATTCGCGCGGCTCGTCCTCTGGCTTCTCTCAATATCGACATGTTCTTGAACAGAGCTGTCATCGATTAACATGTACCTATTGTCTATTATTTAAATGTACTATTTATGTATCTTTGAAAAAAGGGCTGAAGGAAGAAATTGATTAATTTAATCATTTATACATATCGCAGCAAAAGTCACAGAAAAAAAAATTAAATTTGATAAAAAATTACAAATCAGTAATTTGGATTGCATAGTTTGATAGTTTTAGTTTTAATAACGTTTTTGAACACGGAAGAAAATCTCTTTTAATTTAAGATTGTTCATCGAAAGGATTGATTGTGGAAAGGCGCGGGAGAGTTTAGGGATACCGAAACTAATGTCCGATCTCGAGGATTAGATTTGACGGCCAGAGTGTTCGCAAGGTGGATCCCTCCATGAATTTCTTTCGATTCGCCTACGCGTTGCAGTTCGCGCGCGCGGTTTGACGCTTAAAGGACACACACACATACACACATACATACAGCGCTTTCGTTTTGGTATAAGCCGCTCTTCCGGTGCATATCATTTTCCTCTTCCTCCTTTCCTTTCCTCGACAGCGTCCCGGCGGCGTTACGCGACCTCCCTTTCCCGGGGAGACCCGCGAGATCGGAAGCAATCTGTGTATACATGTACATATACGTACACGTGTGTATGCCCGATAATCGTGACAGATGCGTTGTATCATTCCAAATAATAAAAAAAAAAGTTTCGCGGTAATGTGTGCGTCTCTCTCAGTTGGTAGGGACACGCGGGTCCCACACGGCGCATAGAAACGCCTTTTCGTGTATTTATTATTTGAAGCGTTGAAATTTATATAGACCTAAGCCACGGAGAGTTCTAGGACAGAATGGATAGTCTAAACGTATATTCTAATAGGCCATATGTAAGTAACTCGCTCTAACTTTTGCTCATTTTGCGATGCCATAGATCGAATTGCCCGAGAATAACACGAGACACATTCATTAGGAACGACAATTCTAACATTTTACACGGTTCCCTCGTTCCGTTCGCTTGGACAGCCGTATAGTTAGTTGTAGCCGGAGAACATTCCTCGGATGGAAGTGTCAGTTCACTCTGTTAGCCCTTTCGTTAAAGATTGTGACTTGGGTCTCTATCACTCTCAGTGCTTCATTTCGTATTACTTCGAAGGAGGATATTCCGCAAGGCGATACTAGCTTTTAATTTACATATAAATACGTATAGGACTTACATTTGCATTGCATCACGAAGTACGCGATGTTAATTTACGATTGTTGTAGACCAGCTGTCCGGTTTCGTCGGGCAGCTCGTTTCGTCGATTCGCAGCTTCGATCACGAGCATTCCTGCGCGTTTCAGAGATTAAGTATCTATCGTTATCACATTTTCGGGCTTTTACACGACGGGGCTTTTAATAATTTATACCTGGGCGGTAATTCATCGCAGCACTGTTTATTCGAATTTTATTCACCTGATGAAAAATTTGAAAAATTTTGCAAAAGGAGGCTGCGGGTGAACCATCGGAAACTCGCCTTTCGTTGAGATGGACTCTATATGTACGAAAAATCGATAACGCTCTCTAAAAGGCTGTATAAATTCCATACGCGCGTCTACGAAGTACAAAAAGGAAATTGACACAAAGAATATTTTTTCTATGCACTCCCTTTTTCCCAGAAAAATGAGGTGCCGCATTTAGCTTCCCTAAAAAAAAAAAAAAAGTGTAAAAAGGTTTCCGTCTGTAGTGCCTGCAGCTTCTACATGTCATCGCGTCAAGCCCGAATTCTTTAATGTTCAACGACACCGCCGTTCCGTGACATACAACGTACGCACCAGAAAATTCTACTCGGGACACTGATAATATTGCACCGATAAGAGGGCCGACTCGATTAGAACTTTCCGTTTCGGTATTCTCTCGCTATCGTACGGTCGGTTTACATTTTTTGCCTCGACACGACGAGACGGACGTATTATTGTATCCTAGCAAGCTCGTTAAAGGTATGCTGTGATATGTGTGCTACTACATACATGACGACACCTGACTCAACGATCCAAACGATCAAGATCACTTCCAAAGATCACTCACGCCGTGCACCGAGTCGGACTCGCGGACGGCACGTGACCGCTGATTAGTTTCTTACTTACTATAGGCAACACAAACGAAGCCGGCCTGCGACACATCAGACCTACTATTTCATCTAACGATTCTGCGAGGAAAGGGACGGATGAACTTGAACGAATCGAAACGGAGAGATCCGCGTCCGATCGTATCTAATCTCTCGGAGAGATCTTCGATCTCTCGTTATCTCTTTCTGTATATATACATATATATATATTGATCGAACGACGTAATCGAACTACGTAGAAACACAGAGTTATGTAATACATCTTAATGTCGAGTTATAAAAAAAAAATCAATTCTTTGTTGTTATCTCTTATCTCGTTCGCCGAGAGGATCAAAGTATAAAAACGCAGGAGAGGCTTCAATAGTCCCCGGGATGAAAATTAATTTGCTTCGTAAGGAACTTGCCGATTCCTTCGAGTTCATCCTTCCCTCGCGGGGAAGACCGCGATCTATACAAAGTTCCTATTTCGTAAGCTAAACGGCGAGGTATTCCGCGATCGACGATGGATCCCCCGGTGGGGGGGAGGGGGGAATGCGTCTTCGGTCCTCCTTTGCACAGGACGGACGAAAGGCTCGCCGATCAACGAGGCTGTATGAGTTTTCGGAAATTTCTGCATGGTGGACGCGTGCGTGAAGGGACGGATTGTAACGATGTGTGTTCGTGAAGCGAACTTGGCGGGCTCGCGATTTCGTATCTTAATTCCGACGGATACGGGTTTTCTCACACGACGGAGTCTGCGGGCGCTTCTAATAATAGATACGAGATATCTCTGTGTTTAATTGATTCCAGACGCGATCGGCGGAGCCCGCGTTTCGACGATCCCGCGGATTTCTCTCGCGGAATTTCCCGCAACGACGTTCTCTCGCTATCATGTAAAGAGTCGGGGAAAACTTTTCCCTCGCCCCGAGCGGCGCATCGAGACGAAAATAACGCAAATAATCGCGACACTGTAAATCACGTTAATGAGTCGCGCCGTTCTGTATTAAGTCACGCAGGTGACACTCGCGAACGATTTAATAACGACTTCGCCGTCCAAAGTGCCGCTAACAGGAGCGACACGTACGTGGTTCATTACTATAAAGTCGGTGAATCGCGTCCAAAACGATCGTTTCGGAGAACCCTGTAACACACGTATTGTTCCATTAAATATGGAAAACGACGCGCTGTTAAAACATCCCGTGGCAACAGAAATTTTTCTTCGCGCATTGAAACCGTTATTTTTGCCGAACGAAATGGCGCTTAGAAATGGAGCGAATTGTGGACGGCGCGTCGAGAGCGATACGATAATTCCCTGAATATTACCTTCGATTAGGGGCATCTTTTGGGCGGCGAAAGAACGCCTGTTTGATTTACTTTGGACCCGGATCAACCGGGCGTCATTTCGCGGCTTGGAAATAGGAGGACAGATGTTCCCATATATTTTAGCACACGACACTTCCTTCCGCTTTCACGCCTGCGGGATGATTCCCTCGGTTGTTCCCGCATCTCACGAGATTATCGAATTATGTACAAACAACGTAAACGACATTTACATAGCACAGCCGGTCGACGCAAAATCACTGCGCCGTTATCGTCCGCAATTTCTCGTTGGGAGACGACGAAGGAATGTAAAAAAAAAAAAAGGAAGAGACAAAAATCTCCCGATCGCTTAATTCGGGATATTACGCATGTACGATAGGCGGCGACTAGCGGTCCAGCTGATTGTAACATCATCCAACGCACCGACGAGTAAAAACCGACGAGTCTAGGCATCTCTCCGGCAGTTTTTTATGAGACCTTTCCACGCAAAGAGCTTTATGGCATCGCGTCTGTACTGTAACTTCTCGGCGCATTTCTCTTTGTTTGTTTATAAGCGTGTACATTCTTTGTAATTGTAAATGAAAAAAAGACATTTCATTGTTAAATGCCTGTACTTCTTACCCTGCATTCGGTTATTTTCTGCCTCCCCCCTACCCCTACAATACGTTTTTCTCGTCCGGTACGATCATATGCGAATTAATTGAATCTTTGTTCAGAGTCCACTAAAAAAATTCAAAAATCAGCAATGCGACGGTACAGAGTATCCTATCCTATTTTTGTCTCGTTAATTTTGAGTTTATTATTAAATTTCGATGAGATGTGGAAAAGAGAAAATTGACAAAAAGTTTTTATTTTCTTGTATATCACGAAAAGAACTCGGTAAAACTCAAAATTAGGTATTGGGATATTTGGGATAGGTTTTTCTGTACTAAAAAAAAGCGAGTAACGTTAGATAAGAATATTTGTAATTCTACTGTATATAAATCCTTTGAATTCTACAGTCGTCAACTGCGTCCGAAGTTGGCCTGTTGTAAAATCCTGCGCAGTCTTTTCTTATCGAGAAGATAGAAATTTTCCTGGCGATACAGCTCCGCAAAATGTCTCGCGACACGTTTTAACCTAATCGGAAAATTCATCATGTCGAAGAAGCTGCAGATAGTGCGAGTGGACAACGATCTCGTGCAGAAAGCGAATTTGCTGATCGGCAACAACATCATCGGCCGCGGCGCCGCGACAGGAGTGAGTTGCGTAACTGACTTTTTTTTTTGCAAAGAATTATTACTTCATCAAGACGTCATGCAAAATGTCGTTCCAAACGAACGAGCAACTCCTCTTGCGGCAAATAATCTTGCAACTGGAACGCGCTGGTCGAAAATGACTGAAATTCCCGTGAAGTTCTATTGATTCGATTGAAATTCGTTTGAATTCTATCAATCCGAATTCAAGCAGACAGACAGAGAGAGAGAGAGAGAGAGAGAGAGAGAGAGAGAGAGAGAGTTGAGAGAGACAGACATTAAATATATTACTCTCGCATTTCTGTCTCGGGTTGCGGTTGGCGTTGACGTATGCGAACGGATAAGCTGACGCGTCAAGATTATCCACGCGCAATCGTTTCGTCGGATGATTCATGCCCACGCTCGGGAGATTGGAAGTTTTGCCGCATCGACGTTAGCGGAAAATGTACACACGGAGACATAAATGCGTTCATCGTGCGTATTATTGATGCCCGCATCGGACTAAAGATTAAAGATTGAAATTGGATTGAAATTTGACTTGTTAGAAGAATAGGAGAAAATCAATCTCAAGTTCAGTAAACTTTCCTTCGGTTAATTAAACGTCAATCTAATCTCAATCTCAATCTTCCGACACGAGAGTCATATGTTTATAAGAGTGCATTATTACTGTGGGTAATTTGAGAGAAAAAAAAAACGACATGTTGCCTTGAAGCAAATCGAAATGATATTTCGCAGTTTGATGCATATAATATAGGTATACATTATTAATGTTTGAAAAATAACACAATAATAATAATAATAATATTGCATAATAATATAACAATTTTGTAATGATATACCAATAATTATATAACATCAAAACGTCATAATAATGTAATAATGTACTTCAAACAATCATCAGTTATTGTGCGCATTTATACGTCCATTTCTACCAATGTGATTTAAATTCAGAGATCTCGGTTTAATATACTTACTGTTTATTTTATTTTGATTCTCTTAGAATTAGAAAAGAAAGTAAGTTAAACCGGGATTAAGGTTGAATCTACATCGATAGGAAATAGACATTAGATAAAAGGTACGCGCGCGGGTACGTGCATATAAGTATACGCTAAATACACCTCGCGGGCATCGCGGGCACGCGAGTGCGATTTCACGCGGTAAAAGGCCAAGGCGCGTTTATGATCCCGTCTGTACATACATACATACGTGCGAACGTCACGTGCGCCCCGATGATAGCCATATATAATGGCGCGCATCTGACTGCGTCACCGCTGTAAAAAATGCTTTATCAGTCCTCATCGAGAACTTCATCGCGCGGCCCGGAAACGCCGAGCGCGAGTCGTCGGGGAGCGCGATAACTCGAGTACAGCGAGTCACAGACGACAAATATGTGACGTAGAATTTTTGCCGATAAAAAGAAATTGAAGTTATCGCGCCCGCAAACGCGCATTATGGCATTTGTTACAGTTAGTAGAACAGACAGCTAATAATAAATTGCAGAGATAATGCGCGCGGACGCGCGCGCGCGCGGGACGTAATAATCCCGCCTCGAGAACATTTGGCGTCGGGCGCGGTTGATAATGTCGGCGCTCTTTAATTATCCCCGGATACACTCCGGATAAACCTTACCTACCAATTCTTCGCGTCGCGTTTCGTCGACGACTCGCTCGACCGTCGGGGCGGCGCGGTTGGATTTCGGAGCGTTTCGAATTTATTTACGCGTTGAATCATCAGCGGTGATCGTGTCTCTCTCTCTCTCTCTGCGATTTGTGTTGTATACCGTAATTCAAACATATATTATACATGCCTTCGAACGTTTCTGATCGATTAAATATTACGCGAATACGATAAATGAACCGAGTCGCGGCAAGTGGAAAGGAGAAAAACGCGAGTCGGAACGGCTGTCGGTCGCCTAAAGCACGAACGACGACGCGCGCGATTTTCTCACTCGTTGATGCAGGTCGCCTCGTCGATGACGTCTTGATTAATTGAAGGACCGATTCTCTCGCCCGGCGAAACTTAATGATCCTTACCGTTATCGCAGTGCAACGACGGCCAGGTGCTCAAGCACGCCGTGACCATCAATCTGTCGCCGAATGATGAAATGACGATTACCCCGGTAAGGTCTTCCCCCGTTACGCCTCTCCACTTAGCTTATCGCTTGGCGTATCATCGGCACTCTGATAACAATATACTTATCCGCGCTAATCTCTGTGATAATTCGGTTGACAATATACGTAACGATAGCGAATTAAGTGACTTGTGACTCAATATACATATGTCGGTAGAATGAAGGGGTTATTACGTATTTACGTGACGTGTCAGTGGTTGCCAATTTATTTATTTACTCTCTATCGTCGCAATGTGTTGTAGCTGACGGCATCAGTTTTCTATAGGGGCCATTTTTTCCAGCATTAGGTGGCACCGTGTTACATGAAATCGGCTGGATGCACGCGATGGCGGTCCCTTGAATTGGGAAGCAGCGTGCCGATAAAGCCGGGCGACGTTTGCTCGCTGCTGCCCGACAAATGTTGGTTCAAGATCATCTCGATGCCCGACACGATGCAGGAAGGTGATCAGACGTTGAAGAGAAAGGTAAGGATGTCGTCCAAAGGTCGACTTCCAAGGAGAATGTTGTGTACGAATGGGTTTTCTCTCTTATTAACAGCTTTCCGTGTTTCAGGTCGATCAGGAAGATTCGAATGACGAAGCGGAAAGTAAGAAGGCCTGCTTATTGTCGAGCATGGAAGCGGCCGTCTCTCCTGTCAAGCCTACGAACGACGTTCCTCGGGATGAGGAGCCGCCGAGCCAGCCGAAGGAATGTCCCGTTAATGGAAATGGGGAACACGGGGACGCAGCTGCTCCAGTCTTGCAGACCAATCCCGCAAGGTTTCACTTGAATTGCATTCACACAGAAATGTCTTGACAACGAGTGAATAGTTGTTCACCGTGTTCCTCTTCGTGCGTCTTTCAGCTCTCCGCAGGGAAACGACATGCCCGCGACGAGTTCCAAGATGTCGACAGATTCTCAGGATGAGCGCCCTCCGCCCGTTGAGCGCGAGAGTAGCAGAAAGCGGAAAGCAAAGAACATCAACGTGATGAGTAAAGCCGCAACGAACGGCGATCCGGGCAAGAGGATCAAGTGGGACTGCGGCGCGCACTTCAGCGATCAGATTGAAGCGGATCCTGACGATCCTAAGTCGCCGGTTGCCGCGCCTCAAGATCAAGCCAGTGCGTCGAATCCCGATCGAGTCCCCAGAGAAAAGTGCATGTACGGTGGTCGATGTTATCGGTAGGTTGAACCAACGCCCTCGCGTGTAGTTCAGTTTCTTTATCAAGGTATTATTTCGTCGAAGTACGACATAGAGTTTTGGTTCAAAAACAACGAAACACACCTTCAAACCCGCAGGAAGAATCCAAATCACAAGAACAACTACAGTCACCCGAACGATTCCGATTACGACGAGGTCGACGACCGGCAGGAGTGTCCGTACGGCATGAAGTGCTACCGTAAGAATCCGCAGCACAAGACGCAGTTCAAGCACACGGCCGCGCCGCGCCGCCGTCGAAGAGCCGCCACTCCCGTGCGCCCGGTGGTCGTCGACACGTCCGAGACGGATGCGTCGTCCGCGGAGGAGTCCGTTGACGAGTCCGACTACGAGCCGTCCGTGTATACCGAGAGTTCGGACGACTGGGACGACAGGAGCGAATTGGACGACGGTACTACCGGCTGACGACAGAGCTCCATCGATCTTTCCGATATGCCAAAAGTGGATGCCATACATTTTTCGAAAAGATCAAATTATTGATACGTCCGAAATACAGATCTATTTTGTTATGGAATATTTATTTTTGTACACGGATTTAAAATATTGTGCCTTGTATATTCTATTCGTTTTATTTAGAGAGAGAGAGATATATATAAAAACGTTAATAATATATCACAATCGACGTTGCTTTTTTACATGTTGGAAAATATGAATATATTAATCTGATGCGTATATACTGAAAATACAATACACCTTGAGTTTAAATAACGTTTAAATTTGTATGTTATAGAATCTTATATAACATTTGAGAATTAACAGCTTGAAATAATTATATACTATTTAAAAACTACACACAATTTCTTTATCAATTAATTTTAATTAAATCGTCAATTATATTAAATGCCTTTATCTCGCATCAGATTGATAAGTCTATAAAGACTAAAAAATAATTATAGTCTATATTAAGTAATGCACTGTCATATATTATATATATATTTTTTAAAATGCCTGATAGCCCTCATCGTCCTCGGTGGCGTATTTCTCAGCCGCCGCGATGGCCACGTCGGCCAGCATGTGCTTCGGTATTTCGGATCCCCGCACTTTGATAGTGTAACACGCATTTTCCATCTTGGTCAGGCTGTGCTTGAGCGTGACGATCTTCTTGTTCACCTCGTTGCTGTGCACCACGCTGGTGTAGCCCAGGAAGGCTATGTATATCTTTCGGACAAAGTCACACGTTTGGTAGCAACTGCTCACGTCGCCTATCGCCAAGTTGTTGATGCACTTTCGCATCAGCTCTCCGGTGAGGTCGGCTATTCCCAGGATATAGTCCGTCGGCGTGACCATGACTCGCATCTCCCTGGCAGTGCTCTGCTCCGGCGAGTCGGTCGGAGACGGGGTTGTGCGATACATCAGCGCTCTTTCCAAGGAGGTCCAATTCTGCATACCGCCGTTCTGCAGATACTCGTGGAATGTGAGCGCCTCCACGTACTCCTCCAGACCGGCGCGATAGGCCCTGTGGAACTGATAGGCGTCCTGACCGTCCAACTCGGTCGCGATATTTCGGAACAGCTTCTGCGCTAGGTTTTCCAGCCGCGCCTTGGCCGTGTCCAGCACGGCGTTACGTTTACTCTCCTTGTCGATGGTGTGCAACAGAAAGATGATTCTCTTGCTCTCGATGCCCACATCCCGATTCAGCTTGAAGATTCTCTCGTAACGATCGTGCTTGTCGTCCAGCTCGGCCGCGTAAGCGCGAAACTGCTGTACCACGCGACTGTTCTCGTTTATGTCCTCCACCACTTCCTTGCCTTTGTCGCCAAGATTGACTTTGTCCTTGTCTGCCTTATCATGGTGCTTGCGATTCCTCCTACCTGCTGCAAGTAACATCAATGTGAGAACACAAAAAAAAAACTATCTAGTAACCTATGATAAAATTGCACTATTTGAAAAAGTAGATACATATGTATACATGTCAAGTACAGCAAAATCAAGCTGCGATAAATACTAAAGAAAACTTTTTACCAAATTTCAAGCATTGTACGTATCTAGTTCATGATATACATACGTATAAACGTACAAAAATAAAGCACTGAAATATAACGTAAATATAAATATCATTAGTTTAAACACAATTCTTTTATAATTTTTAATTTGGAAGAGAGAGGGGGGGGGGAGTTTATGGATTGTCGCACAGCAATGATATAACCCACTTTCTGCAGAGCTCGAAGACAGTGATTCGAAGAGATCTCTCAATCACTTGAAATTAATCACCCTCAAAGCTCTCTCTTCTCAAAAGCGGATTTATACCATCGACGCCGCAAACTTCCGAGTGTAGGCTCATCTGCAGCTGTCAAGCGGCCTCTCCGTACTCACGTGGAATCGACATTTATTGACAACGGGGGCGGAAACGAGGGCGATTCGCGGCGTCACGATGAAGCGACTCACCTCTTCCCTGCGACATCGCGATTCCTCTTGACGATCGCCCTTGATTAATTTGTTAGTCTTCGCTAACGGTATCCAGCGTGCGTGAATTGGTACGCGGACTGTTTACACGCGACGTGACGCTACAGCAGCAGACATTGAGCTTGACACTGGCAGAGAGAGCGGGAGAGAGGCCACGCCGGCTTTTTGGATGGGACCGACAATCCCCTCCGTACATTAGCGCCCCACGTCCACGTTTTCAAAAAAGGAACTACGTACATACCACGTCGATCTTATAACATTGCCGATCAAATCATAGCATTAAAACGTGGTTCGTGTCCGTGCTAATCGTGTATTATACATATACAGCGCCGTACGGCGTGCCACCCGTCGTACAGCGCGTTTTCTCGAGAGCACATACAAACACGATTTCGATAAGAAAACATTATATGATATACACGCAGAAAAACGATTAGCCAATGAAGCTAAAATACAGCTATGGCAGTTAAGATGTGTCGATGAAATAGGGACAGCTAATGTTGTTGCTGTCGAAGTTCAATTTATTAGTTATTAAAATGTAAATGCTACAGCAAAAAATATTTGCTACTAAAATCAAATGATATTTAGCCGAATCTACTTTGCTATTTTATCTTCACAATAGAGTAATAATATTTCCAGTATACTGCAACTTATATACTGCAAAATATAAATGCTAAATGCGCTGTATGGATGTGCATATATGGCAGTGTCACATTGCAAAAACAATTACAAATCAAATTTTTGCGCGTAGCTATAAACTTAACTCTCTGTGCTAAATGTGTGCATGATAAGACATTTAGGTACGCATGCCATTTTTTTAGCTGCCTGTACTAATATATATTAGCAGTTTTTAATTTCAGTTAATAAATTTTTTTGTCACAGTGAATGTTTTTTATCTGTATAATAGCCAGAACTTAGCAATGACACTAAGGCGATAGCTCTTATAGCTAAGTTTGATTCGCAGTTATTGAAATTTAGCTGCTATTATTAAGTCATTTTTTTGCGTGATGTACAAAACATTTAATTTTTCAATTTTTATTGTATATAAGTATATATAAAATTGCGATCTTTTATCCTAAAAATGTACGGATAATTATATAATTAAAAAAATGCTTTGAAATAATTTTGACTCATAGCTTGGCGCGATCATTTCTTTTTCGAGTTATTCTGCCGTCGCAAAATCGTGTGCGATTATCGTTGAAAATTTTATACGAAATATCAGCCATCATAATTTACCGTGCTTCTTCAGGAGTACTTTTTGTGCGTAAAAATACTACTGAAATGTAGTAGTGCCATTGCTACATTTTAATAGTATTATTCATTGCTACATTCAATAGTATTTTTACTCCATTAATAGTTTATTTTTACGCGTGGTATGTATGAAATAAAAGAATCTAAAAGCAGAAATAAGTCATCGGACGACGATGCTCGACGGATCATCCATCATCAGGTAATTTTTACTTTTCATTGTATAATTCTTTTCGGAAGTTACGTAATATTTTAAATATAATCATCATTGCATTATCATGAGATTTATTAATCTACAAAGCTTTCTTTTAAAATTTGCGTACTCTATTCGTAAATATATTGGATTACAATTCACGGTAATAATTTACTCATTAAAGAATATCCAAAATGCAATAAATAAATTATTTAGAGTTTATTTCAGAATATGTAAACTACAATTAAGTTTTGTTTTGTTTAGTTTTCGGATATCTTTAGATATCATCCCTTCCAACACGGAGAGAATTATTCCTTTTAAAATTTACCCTGAAAATCATGTTAATTGTGAGATAATATAGTATTTAGCTAAATTTAAAAAAAAATTCTCTCCGTGTAGGGTACTCGACCTTGTCGTGGTGGAAGGGCTCAGTACCCCGAGGACTTAAAAATTAATTATATTATACTAGTTAATAATTAATTATAAGTCTAAGACGGGAAGCTAACTGAGTACCCATTGCTACTCAGTGAGAAATGATCGCCAATTCGATACAGCTGGCGAATTGAAGGTCATTTTTCACTGGGTTCCCAGATAGCACAGATAATGAGAAAAGGACTCAGTTATATGTCACTAATTCTGAGTTCATTTTCAGATTCAAAAAAAATTCTTTTTCTAAAACGGACTGAATATATATTAATGAATTCTTTTGGTTTGTTCTATCTCTGTATAAATTATCTGGAATTACCGTCGCCGATTATATAAACGGTTCGTTGCGTCGGTTATATACATTATTGCAAAATTAAATAATTTAAATTTGTTGTATATTGTAATATTGGAAATTTGTACAAAGAGTCGCGCGATTCGTAAATTTTTCGCGGATAAAGGTGTAACTATGACTCTCCCGACTCGCGGGATTCCAAAACTCTTATGAGTTTCGTTGCGCCTTCAGAGTCGAGCTCTCCCTCCGGTTATCCGATCACTCACGACGTTTGGATTCGGGCATTGTGTCTGGGCTTATCCTGGACTGTTTACAATAGACCAAACCCAGCTGGAGCAGGGGTAAGGCCAATA